ACCTGCGTGTGTTCATTGATTGGGTTCAGTACGATACAGCTAACGAGGTATCGTACGTGCTGGGCGTAAGCGTGTATATCACGCTTACCCTGTTTCAAATCCAGGAGCTCAGCCCGAGCCCTGAATTCGGCGCGAGGCGGTTCAAACGTGTGTTTGAGCCGCGCCTTGAAGACGTCATACGTTGGGAAAACGTATGGGTCGTGCAGTTTGAGCCCTAAGGCCCAAGCTTTGGCACGTCCTGCCAAGTTCGACATGGCGAACTTGACCTTCATCGCATCGTCATCGATGTGACGAGCCTCAATGGCATCGTCGAGTTCGACGAACCATCTCAACAAGGAGTCGCTTTCGACTGCTTTGTACTTGGAGACATCAATCTTTAAGGACTCGGGTCGGCGTATACACGTCGACCCGGCAGCAACAGCACTAGCCTGCTGTTGTCTCAACAGTTCAGACTGTTGAGCACCCTGCTGCATTAACAAGTCAGCTTGTTGAGCGCCTTGTACTCTCAACAGTTCAACCTGTTAAGAACCTTGCTCCTCTAGCAAGGTGAGTTTCTTTACAACTTCGTCAAGTTCATGTTGTATGAACTTGGCGATGGTTGCATGTTGGTCGTCTCCGCTAAGAGAGAGCAACATGGCACCAACGGCAGGGTTGCCGATGGTTTCAGCCATACGCTGAACCGCATTCCATTCGAGGTCACTCAAATGGCGGAAATCATCACGCGTTGCGTGATGACGTTCATCACCCGCTGATTCCATAGCGGGTGGTGCGGTGGTCGCTGAACGGACCACGAAGTGCTACCAGGTGTAACGGGGCACCCTCCGACTATACTGATTACAGTATAGTCTACTTTCACTGATTACAGTGAAAGCAGGTGCCTCAATTACCTCTCTTACACAAGAGGCAGAGGAAGCTTTACTTCTAAACAAACGCTTAGAAGTAGAGGAAAAGAAAACTGTATTTAATATAGTTAACTATCTTAATAAAACTAATCTGTTATAACCTATGTTAACTATATTAAACTACAACTATGTATGTTGACAACTTGCCCTCCACTCATTGCGCGCGTCCATCGGTCATTGGTCAGCGCGTTGGTTGATATGATGGCCCATATCAACCAATAAGAGGGCATCTCCAACTTCAAGGAGATCTAGGGACAATATTATAAGAAAAGATAATATTGTCAAATATTATTAGTTATAATAATATTTTATTGACACTTCATATAAGTGTCAATATTATGTAACGGGCTCACCCCGTTACAATATTGTTCCTAGATCTCCTTGAAGTTGGAGATGCCCTCTTATTGGTTGATATGGGCCATCATATCAACCAACGCGCTGACCAATGACCGATGGACGCGCGCAATGAGTGGAGGGCAAGTTGTCGACATACATAGTTGTAGTTTAATATAGTTAACATAGGTTATAACAGATTAGTTTTATTAAGATAGTTAACTATATTAAATACAGTTTTCTTTTCCTCTACTTCTAAGCGTTTGTTTAGAAGTAAAGCTTCCTCTGCCTCTTGTGTAAGAGAGGTAATTGAGGCACCTGCTTTCACTGTAATCAGTGAAAGTAGACTATACTGTAATCAGTATAGTCGGAGGGTGCCCCGTTACATAATTGACACATCGAAAGCTGTTACCAGCAGTATAATGCAGTGCTATCAATATCAAGCTAACTTTCAACATGGGTGATTTAATCTTGTATTTTGTATAAAACATGTTGCTTTTTAATTACGAAAGACTTACTTTGAGTTAGCATCTGCGGCTCCAACGCCACGAGCCACGTCAGGTAGAAACTCGTGTACTTTCTAAAATAGGAGCGACGTTAGATCGAATACAGGGCATGTGTAATTTTAGATAAGACCATGTTTATTACCGTGTACAGAAATGCCCATTTACTTAATCATTGCGATGTAGCAAACACCTTTGGTCTACAGTTCCTTTGTATCAAAACGACAGAGTATTATACGACCGGTCAATCAACCCGAACGTTTTGCCGTTTATTACCATGTCAACTTACTTAGAATTGTTGCGTTATATACGCGCTGTGTAATACATAGTTTGATGGTGTTGACCAATCAGAGGCCCCTGTGTCTCGCCCATTTACATAATAATTCAGTAGCTTAGGTCGATGCAATCCCTTCATATTGCATATTATCTTACAAATTGTACCCGTAACAATCACACAAGGGTTGCGCCCATCTCATACGTGATTGCATCGGTTATGTAGCACTATTGAGGTCTAAGAAGTGTATTCGGTTTGCTACTCAAAATGGCAAATTTGATGAATTTTTCTGCATGTCCATGCAAAATATATTTTTTGGTCAATTTTGAGAAAAATTATCACTTTTTTGCTGTAAGATGTAGAAATTGAGGGTAATGGATATACAAAATTGAGATAATGAATAAACAAAGCTCAAGCCAAGTGACAAAGTTGTGAATGCGTTTAGCCCATTCTGATGTCTGTACCGGAGTAATCAATTTCTTTACAAAAGTGCGGGACAAATTCAAATGAGAACTGGTTAACAAAAGACATAAACCGGATCGGCTGCAGTGCTGGGTTAAAGATAATACTACTAAGCTAGAGCATCACGTGATGTACTCGGAGCTGAATTTGATACTGCGGCGGCTGCATGGGATGATATTCGATGATCTAGGGAGATTCTGGAGCTCTTACGATCGCAACTTCTTGATCGAACGACAACGATAGCGGGGTCACTTCGACTATGGACATAAGCAGTGATTGCGACCTGACCATCAAATTTCTAATGTGGCTCAGGACATCCACGAGCGAAGCTCTAAGCAGAGGTACCTACAGACCTTGGACGTGATGTTGCCAAAGCCGACCATGGTTGCTGACGTATCTAACTCCACCGAACTTCTAGTCCAATCCAGCTTCAACGTGAATGCCATTCAAGCCGGTAACCGAGATAAACGAAACGCCACAATTTGTCAATGCGTGGCGACACGTCTCTTTTCATAAGAGGCTCGATAGATCTGGATCAACCTCACGCTTGTCAATCGTTGATATCAGAATGGGCACTCGTGAATGATTGCAGCGTCGCATCGCGCTCGGCCGACACAAATTTTGAGCGGACGTTGATGAAACTAGAAGCTGCCAGTTTGTTGCTTGAAGTTTTAAGATGCTCAGGATGCGAGAAAATAGTGACCTTAAGTTTATAAGTCACTTGTCACCAGTCTCGCTTAAAGTCATTGGCATGACATGTATTGACATCCCCATCGGTTGTCTGGTACGATACCGGCACTTATAGCTGGAGACCATGTGGATGGCCCGCATCTTTACCTTTGGCGTCTGTCAAAATGCTTTATTCCGCTGTACGAGGTGTAGTATGACCCCCTCGCGTCGTGAGACCGTAAGGTCTTCGCTTCGGATCAGTGGGAGGTACTCTTTGTGCTTAAGAAGCTCATACCTGATGCCAGTGACACCACAAAGTAGTTCCACAGGTTCGAAAGTCGTCGTTTGGTCGCCGTCGACCATCGCCTTTTTCAAGAATCAAACATTTGTATCGACTCGCCACTTTTCTCGATGGTGGATGTCTTGCTGGTGGTCAATTTTTATCGTCTATAAACCTGCAAGCAATACACGACTCGATGCGTATCTGCATCCATGCGGTCCCGAAGGAGCTGGTGGAGCAAGCACGGACAGCGGAATAGACTGTTTGACACTCTAAACATGAGCAGCACATTATGTTCCAGTCTCTTTACAGCAGAGAGTGCACCAAGCCACAGCTGCTCTAAAACCTGGCATCTAAGTTACGTCAAAAGTGCCCAATATATTTGCACCAGCATGCCATCGTGTATGGTGATGCAAGTGCGACAACATTCTCATGGCTGCTGACGGGATGGCAACCCTTATAGACATGGACACAGTACAACGTCAACAGCGAAAACATGTCGAATCGCCATCAAGCGTAGTACCCACATTCAGGAACAATGGCTGAATCCACGCAGTTCAGTGTGCCTGATCACAGATGATGATGTAGTAGGGCCTAGAAGAACTATAGAAACTTTACAATAAATGACAAAGATCAGTGAGCGTGCTTTGAACAATGCAAGTGCAGGATTTTCAATCGCATTCTTTCCAACAAAGACGATAATAGTTGTCGAAACGTTGTTCGCTGAACCGTCTCCTATCTCCTTTGGATAGTGAAACACCACCATTGTAGGCTGCAATTGGTCAAACAAGTAAGCGATATTAATGCCAGGCCAACAGTTCCGTCTTTCCACTTACTGCTTTGTGGCTCCCACTTGTCCGGCTTGAAAAGTCAACATGTCCCGGAGGTAAACGCTGTCATACTAATACAATAATAATCCGTAATGATACATGTATGATCGAGCTAGTACTTGCACATTTATACATCGTATTCATTCATGGTCTGGCTAGAGACAAACGTTTCCTACGTAGCTTTTCGACCATACACTGCTACCTGGTTTCGTATGTACGAAAAAATGTAGACAGCATGTGGTACTTCTCTTGGTTTTGGTCTCACTTGCGCATGACTTGAAAGCATTGAAATCTATAGGACCAACTGCTGTCCGTTTATTGTTTAGCTGCTTGAATCTCGTGCAAACTTGTTGGCCAAGTTGACCCTTTCGTGTCATAGCACGAAGACAAATAGTCGTGTTCCGCCCCAGCTTCCTAAGCTTGCAAAATTACTACTTTCGAACGACGTGAACATTCGACTATCGGTGTTTTATCGCCACCAGCTGGTTTGACCGATCACTAAAGACGATCACTAGCGTACAGAAGCAAGTCGTACATTGTGCATGGCATCGACTAACGTTTATTTTCTTCAGCTGACTCTCACCTTTTCAGAGGCCTACAGCCGCATTTGCCCCACAAGTAGAAATTGATCGTTAACAGCAATTTTCGACGCCCCATTGGACGTACGACAAGACCTGTCGCTACGCTATACTTGACTTGTGAGCGAGAAACGAAGCAGGTTCGCTTGGGCTGGCCTGATCAAGGCCGATGAAGGTCCGCCGACGGTGGCTCAAGCTAGCACTTGTCACGATTGTGCTCATGTTAAAACCAGCGAATACACAGGTGTACACGATGCGGAGTGACCTTGGAGAGGACTCCAAATCGAGTTTGGACACCGGCAAGGATCTCAGTAACATGAAAACTTCGACGCCAACTGCGAAGACAGACGCACCACCAGAGACGGATGAAACTCCCGCAAAAGCACCTCATACGCTTGCCTTACCAGAGATGGAAAGTGCGCCACGACCTACAAGTAACAATCCGAATGAGACGCCACCAGAAATTAGTGAAAGTAAAATGCGGTTACGGCACCAGCAGTCTCTGGATTGGGACACCCTTTTAGACTCAAATGTGGAGGAAACAATTGCCGACCTTAAGACTTCTGGTAAGTCTTCGGTCGAATCCGGGAAGTCGGAAAACGAGGAGAAGTCTGAGAAAGAGAAAGAGTTTGAAAAAGAGAAGAACTTGGAAGAAGAGAAAGAGTTTAGAAAAGACACGAAGTCTGAGAAAGAGACGAAGTCTGAGAAAGAGACGGAGTCTGATGAATCAGGGTCCCCAGCGGCGAAGACAAAAGAGAAGAAGAATTTAGTGCCCCCTGCCGGTGGTGATTCAGAACTTGACGAGGCCGGGTCATTGCCATCCAGGACCCCAAAGACATCGTTGGACACGACATTGGGATCGGATGCGGCGTCACCGTCCAAGTCGAGCTTGAAATCGGCCAAGCCAATCAAGCAAGAGCCCACGCTCGAACCGACCAACATAGAGCAGAACGAGACTCCGTCCGAAATTCAGGACACTGATGCGACGAAAGACGTGCACTCGACGGAATCTGAGGCGAGTCCGGCGTCAGATACTGGATCTTCTTCGCCGCCAACCTCCGTCCTGACAGACTCTGCTAATGCAGAGACAGGAGGTATGTCAAACACTGTAATGCTCGGACTCATGATGGGAATCGCAATAGCACTTGGGATGCTCGTTGCAGTCTTCGTCTACGTCAAGACGCGAGAAAAAGAGGACGTCGAAAAGATAGACCCTATCCTGTGGTCAGTACGTCAGGACAGAAACAAGGGAACAGTGCAATCGTCAACGGTGGCTTCTGACTTTCACGAAAACGACATGTCGCCAATGAACTACAATGACGACAACTACTACTCGAAGAACCAGCATCACGATCGTCAGTACGACCAGCACCACCACGGCAACTCAGCCAGTTGTGGCGATTCGGTCGTTGGTGTGCTTACACCGCGAAGTCAAATCGTGCTCGCGCACTCGCAAATGTCGTTGCCGCCCATGGCTCATAGTGGTCACAGCAACGCCAGCAGTCAATATTCCAATTTCACGGCGCAGTCAGATTTCTATGGCAACAGCGGATACAGCGCAGCTTCTTCATCTGTGAGTCAGGATGCTAAGAATTACCCGAGAAGGCGGGGCAAGGGGAGGAACGATAGTGGGTCTGAAGATGAAAGCGATTACGAAGGCGATACCATCCAGGATATGTCATACGCGGCAAACAAGTGGAAATCTTCGAATCGAAGAGGTCCAGCAGCCAGCGGGATAGATTCGCGATTCGATCCTAGTGATTCTCGCTCTACGTCGGCAAGTGACTACAATGGCAAGAATCGCTTCAAGGACTCCGAGTATACGGAGTACCGTATGTCGACGGGCTATGATAACAGTCAAGTGGGCGGCGGCGGCTACGATAGCAGCTTTGCCTCTAGTAAAAGTGGTTCTGACAGCAGCTTTAATGCTAGCCATAGTGGCTATGACAAAAGCTTTGCCGCAAGTGATAGTGGCTACGAGAGCAGATATGCTGATGGAAAGAGGTTTACAAGCAGCGGATATAGTGAATATGCTGCCCCTCCTCGCAATCGTGGCAGTGACTCGACTTCATTATATCGAACAAAGGAGTCTCGTTTTACAGATGCAGCATACAAATGAGACTATAGCTCCCTAAGAAATGCAACTATCAGCTAACTTAAAAAGTGAGCCACTAAGTGATCGACCCCATGACAAATGTCGAGACCCGATGGATGGATGAAACAAAAAAGAGCGAAAGCAAGAGAAGAAAGTGAGTGAGCGCGTTCAAAAAAGTGGGAGAAACATCTTGAGCATGAAGATTTGGTACTTTTTGTGGTGAACGCAACCAAAAGCTTTCGTCTTCATCTTAAGTAGCGTCGAAAAATGAATGGAAACTAATTTATGAGTTAGCTAAGCATGACAAGATGGGTACATTTGTAATTTGCAGCATGCTGTTGATGAAGTTAGTTCCATTAAGTTCGCATGTGATTCGATCTCGAACCTGTAAGATCGTATAATTTATCCATCTGTTATCCGACCGAGACGTTCGGTTTCAATACCGGTAATACCATCTTCCTTCCCGAGGAGCCGGCGGCAGAGACGCTGCCTCCCACTGCATCTGGTAAAGTACGTCATAGAAGGACGAGAAGAAAGGGAGAATACAAGACCATTATACAGTATAAAAACACAGGAAATACAGACCAACAGTATCATCGTGTAATACACTCGTACACTCAGCAGCATCATGTCGGACGCCCAAGACGTACAGACCCTTAAGATGAAAGGTAACCGTTTTTTACTCGTGTTTTTTATTTAATTAAAAAAGGTACTTACCGGTATTTGGGTTGGTTTCGCGTGTTTTTTTCGTTTTTTAGTCGCAAGAAAACATGACCAGGATTATGAACGTCGTCGGTCCGCTACTTTACGTCTTGAACCTCCTCGTACGTCTGTTTAGTACTCGACATTGTGTGCTAGGTGGTCTAATAGTCATCCGTGTGTTTTTTATACTGTTTTTGCAATTGTATTAAACCTTTTTGGTATCAGAATCAGATGTCCGGAAAGCAACGTCTTTTTTGCGTGCTCGTACGTCCGGTGTGAACCGTCTCCTTCGGTCAACAACCAGTAGTACCGGTGGCATATCGGTAAATGGCTCTAGTCATAAGAGTAACAAGAGCAGTAAGAGTAAAAGTGTTCCTAGCAGCAGTAAATCTACACGCCAAGAGGACGATGAACTGGATACGGAAGTAACTGAAGCAGGAAATGGAAATGGAGGTGAGCTTCCATCATCATTAATTGAGTCGGAATCAAGATTGAAATCAATTGTCTCGTCTACTGGAGCAGCAGATGAAGAGGATGGACTTCCACTATATGTGGAACCGAAATGGACTCATGTGGTGTTGAAGATGACGGCATTTTCAGAAGAAGATGCAGTGACAAGCTTCTTGTTTGATGTTAATGGAGGAGGTATTGGCAGTGGTGTGGAAAATGTTGCAAGTATTCCAGCTGATAAATTACTAGGGGAGAAAGACCATGCACGCATTCTTTACAATGGTGGACGGTTTTATTTAGCCAATGGAGACAATTCAAGTGATACATTTGTTCGACTAAGTCCATGTGATGGAGGTGATAATGAGATGGAAGATCGGATGCAATGGCCATTGGAACCTCAAGTGTCATTCCGAGTTGGTAAATCGGATTTCATAGTAACAGCTTTTCATGAACCATCGCAGACGTTGGAAGTATTGGCATTGAGTGGTAAATTAGCAGGAACACAATTTACGATTGGACGGGAAGGTGCAGGAATTGGACGGTCCGCGGAAAATAAAATTCACACGGGAGACGGTGAACTTTCGCGCAAACACGCTGCAATCTGGTTTGATGAATTAACGAATCAGTTTTATCTTGTCGACTTGAACTCGACGAACGGAACGTTTATGAAGCTTGTGGGGAGTTATCAGGAGCCGTATCGTCTTGAAATCGGTGATGACTTGCTGGTTGCACAGACTTGCTTGACTGTGAACCGTTTTGACGTTGGTGCTCACGCGGATATGGGTGCACGCAAACACATGGAGGACGCGCATACGATAATCCAGGATTTATGCATTGAGTCGCTGAGCCGCTTAGGATTACATCCGCAGTCGTACTTTGCTGTTTACGATGGACATGGTGGCGAGGAGGCTTCTTCGTATTTGGGCGAAGTGCTGCATCATAACATTATTGACACTTTTTTCATGAAGAAGGCAGAGCTGAAGCCGCTGATCAACACGTCGCCGGAGGAGCTTCAAAGTATGATCACAAAGCGACTTACGGATACCTTTAAGAAAACGGACGATGAATTTCTGAATGAATCGGAGCGTCCACAGGCTGGTAGCACCGCGACGACTGTGCTTGTCGCAGGCAAGTACATGTTCGTGTCAAATGTTGGTGACTCCCGGACAGTATTGAGTCGCGCAGGTAAGGCCGAGCGTCTTTCGAACGACCACAAGCCGAGTCGGCAGGACGAGGCGCAGCGTATTCGCGACACTGGCGGCTTTGTGATTCACGGACGTATTATGGGAGAGCTAGCTGTTTCACGCGCGTTTGGAGATGCACCATTCAAGACATTTGATTTGCCAGAGCCGCCAAAAGAAGATGTTGACTCAAAGCCACGTAGTGATTACGATTCGCAGGAGCTGCCTGTGAACCCAAACGACATCTTGAAGGGCCCGTTAGTCATCCCTACACCCGAGTTTACAATCACAGAGCTGACAGGCGACTGTGAGTTCGTTATGTTAGCCAGTGACGGACTGTACGACGTTCTCAAGGATCAGGAGGCTGTTGACTTCATGCGTCAGAAGATAGTGCAGCTTGGAGACGTTCAGCGTGCAGTGGAGGTGCGTTATTCTTTCTTTGCGGCCTATATTATTTCTTAGTCGTAGTGGCAATTAACGTTGTTTTCGATGCAGGCTATTGTGGAGCACGCTATCTTCCATCAGCGCTCGACGGATAACGTGACATGTGTAGTAGTGATGTTTAAAGAGCCTAAGGACCTCAAGTGATAAGAGCTGACGTAGTGATGCTCGCACACAGCAACAAGATTACTACACGGTGTGACTTGGGAAGTTGTTGCTTACAGAACCGCGAAGTGGGACATAGATGAATAGTATAGGAAGTAGGGACAACGTTTTGAGAGGCGACTAACCTAGCCGAACCATGGATGAGTCAACCAAAACCATAGCTTGATGGATATGTTGTTAAAGTGCATGGTACAAGCGCATGAAAAGACAAGGTGGAGGTCATTCGAAGCTCAGATAAGCTGGCGGGTGTAACAAGTTCAGAGGCTTAGCATGGACAAATCTCGTATGGGATATTGTCAAAGCGGATGCAAAAGCAAGAGCAAAAGCAGACGCTGATGTCTGTATAGGCTTATTGTAACAGGTGTGACTCAATGCTATCGAAGTTGTGTAGTAGCCTCAGGAGCGAAGATGTTGCAACTGTATAGGCTCAAAGCCAATGACTCCATCCGATCTTTACCAGAATAGTCATACTCCACTTTTGCTGTCAGATGATAGAAGGTATGTAGACTCCGATAGGTTTTGACATGATGGATGGAACCCATCGTGACTCGACTTTGAAGTATTCATGTTCATTTTGCAATTTGTTTGGACCAAGATGTCACCTCAAGAGTTGTGGGAGAAGGTGCTCGACCATCTGATAGAGGTGGAACGTGGACAGCAAAAAGCTCGGGATCTTTTCCTGCAGTCGGCGCCTAATGTGAAGCAGGCGTTAACGTCATTGCTTAGCTTGGAGCGCGTACAACAGCGAGTTTCTTCAGAGGCGATATTGACATTCGTGGAATCACTTCCTCAACCCGATTGGATTATCTTTGCTTGCGACGTAATGCTCCGCGGATCTGGGCTTTGGGATAAGTGTGCGATAGCAGTGTTACTTCGCAAAGTCATGTCCCGATCATCAGGAAAAACGCTCATGTTGGCAGAGAGTTGTTGGATTCAACGTCTCGATTTCGGAGTCCGAGCAATAGCTAGCAGCGCAACAGTTACTATTGCGTCAGCAGTTGGAGACGATCTATTATACGTCGCGGGAGATGGATACGCACACGACAAAAACAATCGGTCTGTCTATTGCTGGACAAAACAATGGACAGCAGACAACAAGAAAGAGCTGTGGCGGTTTGTTCCAGCCTTAACGGGGTCGTCCGATTTCTATATCATGAATGTGTATGCAGACGCGTATCTCTATGTCTCAAGTTCCAGTATCACAACGGAAAACGATGATTGCTTAATGAAACGAGCTCTTATGCCGCGCTATGAAAAAGGTTTGCCGGACGCTGCTGGAATCTGGCGATTAGTGAAGCTTGAAGGGAAGAACTATTCAATTTACAATGCCAGTACCGACACGGTCCTGTCTTCTCCCATGGAAGCATCTGACGGATCTCGTCGTGATGCTGTCACTAGGACGTACCGTCCTCTCGATGAAATGAGCTTACAGTGTCATGAATGGAAGATAACCTCAGCAACTCCGTCGAAAATGGAGAAGGGACTAGTTGAGTTATATGCTGAGAGGTATAACGAAGCTGTAAAAGCTTTTACCGAAATTCTGACCATGGACCATCTCTCCGTAGTACATCGCAAGAAATTGCTTTGCTATCGAATGGTGGCGAATGTGATGATGAACAACATAGGCTGCTTTGAGCAAGACTGGGCCGAGGTGTTGGACTTAGGTGGTGGTTCGGACGACGTGCTTGCAACTCTATGTGAGCAACTACCAAGTGACGTCTTAAAGATACTAGAAGAACGCGTCCAGCTGATACATATAAGATGGAAAAAGATGAAGGAGTAGCATGAATGTCGGTGCAATTTGAAACGGTCTATCACTTCAAGTAGATCACTAAAGAAATTATCGTTAACGTTTTGACGTATATCGTTGCCATTCGTTCTGCCAAGTGTTGGGTATGTGCACCTGCATTTGCACTTGCATAGAGCTACATGAACATATGTAGGTACTTGAGTTTTAGATAGTCCGCAGAACAGGTAGCGCTTTGAAACCATATATATCGACAAAGCAGTCCTGTCAGTTTTTTCGTAAAGCAAACCTGCCCCGGGGAAAAGCTAAGTTAATGTGAAATTCTTTACATCAATCGCGTACCTAGGCCAGGTACTGGAGACGCTTGGTGCCTAATGCATTGTAACCTTGTCCACGAGCTGGTCCATAGTTCCCACATATTTGTCCATGATAATGTCCTAAGCCACAGATGATTCAGTACTTCCGCGAGACTTAAAGTAGTTGAGCACTCGGTTTGCTGTAATCCATTGTTGCTGGTCAGCACTCTTAACAAACCAGACCAATATGGAATGTGTCTTCCGATTGTGACATTGCCTAGGCATTCGTTGGCCGTGTGCACTCATTGGACCTCGGCTCCATCTATGTGGATGATACGTGATCTGCCGCTGAAAAAGGTTTCAAGAACTTAACTTTCAAGTAACGCATAGTTCTTGGCAGCGGTAGAGTCAAAGCTTCAATGTGTTGACCTCGTCGTGAACAGCTACGATGTACAAAAGCTGAAGTCCCAAGAGGCTATTGGCATTATTGCGTGAGCTTGCGCAAGCACTTTGAAGTGGGCTGGACGAGATAAAGCAAAATCTCAGCGTCAACTTCGTAGGACAAAAAAAGAGATCACGGGCTGAATGGCACGTATATGTATATCATCTATCTACACCATCCACGAAACGGCCTGCAAAGAACAAAAGCTTATTTCTTTGCCACTTTCTTCTTCACCAAAGCCTTCTTTTTTGCTGGAGGTGTCGTGGTCTTTGCAGGTTTGCTTTTCTGCTTCTTGGACGTCCTCTCTGCTGTCTCAATCATCTTCACAGCCTTTGTATTCGTCTTTGACACCTCCTTCTCTTTAACAACCTTCTTCATGTCCTGTGTCTCCTTCTCCACTTCTTCTGCCTCAGCAACGTACTCATCGAGCTTTCGTTTCTTCAAGTTTGCAGTCTTTCCAACTGGAGGCAGCTTGGCAAGAGGAGCCAGTGCGTTGTATATGGGCAAAGCGACCGAATTATTCGTCTTAATACAAATCGACTGCACGCCATTCCAGCCCTTAGGAATAAGACTGGCACAGCTGTTTGCGGCCACCATAATGTTGTCCACAATCTGCTCGGTTGTCATGTCAAGTCGTGCCACCTTCACGTTATTGCACACACCAGCACTCACATGAAAAGCCGTCCGACGCGAAGCCAGTCGTACACTCGTAGCTACATTTTTACGGGACACCCGAACAGCCACAGGTGCCTTTTTCTTGGTAAAGAATGTGGTGCCTAGTGGGCCTTTCAGATAAGGCAGCACACGATCGTCAGCCAAAAACATGTCGTAGGCAGCAGCAAGAGCGCGTTTGTCCTCAAAACGCGAAAAATTCTTGCGTAGTTTCTTCACCGTCATGACCTTCGTCACACCTTGGACAGGGTCCTTCTCCAGTGCCTCTTTGATTCGTTTCTTGTCGTCGTCCTTGACAAACAGACAAATCTCTGCCGACTCGTCGTATAGCGCATGAGGCAATGTACTAATGGTGATTGCAACGTCCACAGATGTCAGAATAAGATGCAAACTATTGCAAAATACAGAGCTAGCATTAAGGAAGATAATACCAGTATTTCTTACATTGGAATAGGCTTCAGCGACGTCTTGGCCGGTACTAATTTGCGTGTCACAATGCACGACAAGTATTCAATGTATTCGACGAGCGGCGTCTTGGTCCGCTCCTCATTTTTCTTAGCTACGAACGTGTGCAATGCTAGGACAGCACGACGCACCTGAGCTTCATCTAGCGGGTTACGTAACCCTTTTCTAATCATCACCTCGACCATCACTTTATGACGCAGATCAAGCACTTTTTGGCTGGCTGGGAATGCTTCTTTGCACGGATTGGTTGAAACTACTCGGATAAAACTATTGGATAAAAAAGAAAGTATACATGTATAGTTGCGGCAATGTTGCTTATCATGTAAATGTTGCGTACCTTTTCACCATGTGACGTCATTCCTCATTCTTCCCGATGCTTGTCAAAGTGATTAAAGCGGGTAAACACGCAAAAGATTACGGCTCGCTTGACGTATCTGGCTCATCCGCTACTGTCTCATCCGCTACTGTCTCAGATCTCAAAGCTGCCTTTGAAACCCATGCAAATGTATCTCGGTATCGTCAAAGTTTAAAGTTGCAGCAAGACAAGACCCTCGTAGCCCTTGTTGACGATGAAAAGTTGCTCGTTGATTACGGCATCAAACACGGCGATACGCTCGTGTTCCGAGACCTTGGACCTCAAATTGGGTACCGTACCGTCTTTGTAGCCGAATATTTGGGTCCATTGCTTTTTGTACTGGGCTATGCAATTCGTCCGGGCGTTATTTATGGCCCGGACGCCGCATCGCAGCCATGGAGCGCTACCGCACTACTGGGCGTCGTTGCCTGGACGCTGCATTTCCTCAAGAGAGAGATTGAGACTGTCTTTGTCCATCGCTTCAGTCGCCCGACAATGCCGCTCCATAATTTGTTCAAGAACTGCAGCTATTACTGGGCTTTTGGAGCTGTCGTGGGCTATCCATTATGTCATCCACTGTACACAGGCCCGACATCTCAAGTGCAGATCCAGGTCGGCTTGGCGCTCATGATCATCTCTGAGCTCTTGAACTTGTGTGTTCACATTCAATTGCGCAACTTACGCCCAGTTGAAGGATCCAAGGAACGGCCGATTCCAAAGGGTCCACTTTTTGCTCTTGTTTCGTGTCCCAATTACACGTTTGAAGTGCTTGGATGGGTTGGCTTTTCGCTCTTTACACAAGTGGCAGCCAGTTATGTCTTTACAGCCGTGGGCTTTCTCCAAATGGCTGATTGGGCCTTGAAGAAACATCGCGGATACCTCAAGAATTACGGTGACAATTACAAGAAGTTGCGGCGTAATGCCATTATTCCCTTTATCCTGTAAAGTGGACAAGTGACACTCTCTTGGACGTGATATGAGACAGAGAGAAAGGATGACAGGGAGGTTCAAACGCGTAGTAGGACGAAGAAGATGCTTGAGCAGAGCTTTCGTTATCAATTGACAATCATAAGCTTGAAGATTCTCATGAGTTAGTGTGAACTATTGGATTCGGGGTTTTATTCGATCTAGAGCTTGCTGACCCTTTGGTAGTGGTGCTGCTGTAGACTTTGCCCTTTCACTGCTACGATATTTGTCTCACTCAAACCACCCTGATCTGTCTACCATTGCAATGTTCAGTGCTTGCAGGCTCAATAGCTTATTCAGGTGAGTTGTGGCTTGTAAATCACATGTAGAGGAGCAGAAGTGCGTGGACAAGGAGAAGAGCAATGTTCTGGCAAATGTTCATCGCGATCCGGCATTGCAAGAAGTATGTGTAGAAGTTCATGACATTTCCATGTTGATCTACAGCGCCATGTCCAGATCATCCGTCTCATGTCGAGGTTTGAGTACTCGTTAGAATGTCCATCTTGCTGAAAGTTTTGTACAAGCTCATGATGCTTGTCATTAACTTTATTCGCAACGATCTCAAAGCACACGAGACTCTCTTGCTTTGTGCTGCGTTGCTAATCTGGTAGATGCCGAATCAAGAGAGGCTGGCAGCTATATTGCACCTATGTTGCAAAGATAGAGGGAACATGTGCTCGTCGCTTACTACCATACACTATGTCGATCAACTTGATGAGTAAAACCCACTTGGGTGTTGTTGTCACGTCAGTGGCGAGGCTGCTGCATATACAATGACGGCTTTCCGCTCGCTGATTGAGCCCTGTGTTCACAGATCCCGACGCACAGGAACCTCTGCGTGAGTTCATGTATTACAAATTGACCTCTCCATCTGCTTCGTATCCCTACAGCAGTTCGTACCAAGGTGCATCCAACATCAACTTGACGGACGAAAGACTCAACAAAATACTGAACAAAGCTTTTGGCCGTATGCTGACTTCTACGCTTCCAACAGGAGCGCGATAAAAGCCACAACTTACACCGTGCTAATTGAGGTTGTGATCTCGTCATTGCTTGAGTTAAACCAGGTGAAAAATGATGATCATGAGAGTTATACGTCTCGATGCGTGAGCAGGTTGTGGCTTTGTTGGCTTGCACCTTTCTGTCACGGAGCTTGACAACGGTCTGGACTCTATATATCGCATGGTGCGGCTAGAAGCCGACTGTCGATACTACAAGGTGAAGCAGCACCAAAAACATGTTGTGCTTTCTCAAGAAGATTGATCTTTCCGACTTGTTGTTTGCCATCTGTGACCCCAGGAAATTGTGGTCGAACTCATACACTATTTGGCCATTGCAGGGCACTAAGTGACAGCTAAACCTGCTTAGCAGCTCCCGCATGAACGATCATCCTTAAGGCGCGGAGTAGTACGCGCGCGGTATGTGGGTAGTACGCGCTTCAACTTTTGACAACTGCTGTTCAATGCAGCGTGGTATGTCGCTGATCAATCGTTTGAGAGCATGGAGCTTTGTTATGTTGGTGAGACACCAATCACATTGGGTACTTCCATGCTCGACGAGCTCGAACATTTCCCATAAGCGCCACAGCTTCATCCATAGTACGTTAATGCCAGCGTGTCCAGGCCCACCAAGGAAGTCCTTCAACGGCATCTTTCCAACTCGATAAAATCTGGACGAAAGACTTCGCACACGGTGTACATGGTGTGCTTGCTAAAGCTACCAGCAACATGAACTTGGAGACCCACGAAACGCAATTGCAACAGCATTGTCAAAGCTCCCCGAATGACCTGGTGTTGAAACATACAACTCCATCCGTGTTTACACCGTTTACTGAGCCCAACGATAACGGTTTCACGACATGGAACGAATTCACGCCTACCAAACGGCTGTACTGTGCAAAAGCCACGAGTTTCATGAGCCCGTCGTCGTAAATGAAGAAGCTTTTATGCAGCATTACAAGACAAGATTGTAAGCAACAAGAGGTGGTGTCGGCAGCCGGTAAACTGAACTTTGTGCGCAGTTGATTACGATCCTGAAACCAGAAGGATTGGACTCACAGGCGTTACGAGCATGTCTAATGAGTCGTGTTGACATCGTATGCAAGATCAAAAAAGGAACCAAGTCTTTGATTACGGATAAAATGGATTCACATGCTCGCGAGTCTGCATTTGCATTGTCACGATGCAGCAATTACCGCCGGAATGTCCGTTGGCTGTACATGGTATAAATTGTAGCAGTCCGTGCTTAGCACCTTGAGTGTAACAACACTGCCACGTGTTTGTTGACATGTCAGAAACTACTAAAGTGCCATGCACTCCATTTGGGATGGGGAAGGTCACAATACCGCTTGTCCGGCAGTTCAGTAGCCTTGAGCCCGATGTTCATATTGCCTCAATAGGCGACATTCAGCCACGAATGACTCAACGACATTGATGACTCGGATGCTGTCGATTCCGATGATTGAATACGTTCGGCCTCGTAGACAAAAGGGTTCATCAGTGGTCGTTTACATTGTGCGTTTCAAGCCAGGTTCACTTGCAGAGACGGTCGTACAAAAATGAATACAATAGAGATCAGCAAACAAAGCGACGACGGCTTTTGTTTGTTCAGCTGGTTTCATACGATGTGAGACCGTGTGTGAACAAGTAGCACCGAATTCTGTAAAGAGCCTACATACACTACCAGCCACCAGCCGGCTTTCCGGCTATCCTACTGACGTGCAAAAAGAGGGACACTGGCCGTTCTCCGTTTGCACCGACAGTGGTTCCCCATTTGAACCGACAGTGAAGCTACAAGCGTTTGTCGGTCGAGGGGAACTGGACAATGTCATGCCAAACAGTTATAGTGTGGAAATCCTCGGGTCCTTGGTGGAACAGGACGGATGCACAAGTGCACATTTCGTTGTTCTCCATCATAAAGCTCTTTGGACATAGACGGCAGGTGTTTATGAAACGATCTCGACGAACTCATGCGTCACGCTTTTGGTCGTCGTTGCTCGTGCTTGCGGTGCTAATGATATTCACCACGGCCACGGCCGCACAGGCAGAGGAGAGCCCGGTGGTCATACCGACATCAATTGCAGATTCAGTAAACGAATTGGGTGCAAACGCATTGGTATCGACGGGCGTGACGCCGGCGACTGTGGCCCCAGCTCAAGAACACGACGCGGCGTCTTCGTCGGCAAATGCGGTCATGCCGACGTTGGCTACGGCAACAGAACTTCCGGCAACGAGTAGTCCGTCAACAACACCTCCCGTTGCAGCGGAACCGGGAGTCGCAACGGGACCAGGAGTTGCAACGGGACCAGGAGTTGCAACGGGACCAGGAGTTGCAACGGGACCAGTATCACCAGCAGTTTCGCCCGCTAATACCGGGTCTATCGTAGGAGCAGAAGCACCAGCGGCAGTTGCGCCTGCTAATCCCGTGTCTACCGCAGGAGCAGAAGCATCAGCGGCAGTTGCGCCTGCTAATCCCGTGTCTACCGCAGGAGCAGAAGCACCAGCGGCAGTTGCGCCTGCTAATTCCGTGTCTACCGCAAGAGCAAAAGCGCCAGCGGCAGCTGCGCCTGCTAATACCGGGTCTACCGCAGGAGCAGAAGTACCAGCGGCAGCTGCGCCTGCTAATACCGGGTCTACCGCAGGAGCAGAAGCACCAGCGGCAGTTGATCCTGCTAATACTGGGTCTACCGCAGGAGCAGAAGCACCAGCGGCAGTTGATTTTGCTAATACCGGGTCTACCGCAGGAGCACCAACAACCGAGGTGCCGACTCCAGCTCCAGTCGTCGGTGAGATGCCAATAACCCCTCCAGTTGCAACACCAGCACTCATAACTCCTCCAAACGCTATCGAAGTGCCAACAGCAGCTTCTGTGGCTACTAACCCCTCAACGACTACTCCTGCATTGGCTCCATTGCCACCAGCCGTACCAATGCCGGACCCAGTTGCAACAACTCAAGCCCCTACAGCAGCTTCTAACACGATAGCTGCTCCCCCTTTGCCGGTACCAGCAACGATCGCCCCGAAACCAACAACTAAGACTCCAGCGACTACTCCCCCGACATCTACCCATACTGAAGACACTCCGACCGTTAATCCCCCTATGCCTTCCTCTGACACTTCCAAGTTAAAAACAACAGAATCCTCAGGCACCGACTCGAAGTCTAAGTCTGCAGGTGCGACCCAGGAGTCGGGTGACGACAGTGTCGCAGGTACGCCGACCGGCGACACTGAACGACCCTCAGGGTTACTTACACTTGCACCGATCTTGCCGGATGATACAGACACCGACACCGATACCGATACTGACACTGAAACCGACTCTGTCGATGCTGCTACCAATGACAACGAGAGCGACTCCGCCCCAACCAACGCGTCCACATCCTCGTCTCATTCGCAAACGCTCGACGACTGGGAAGTCGTGCTAGTGATTATAGGTGCAGTATGCGCCGTGGTGGCGTCAATATTCTTTATGCATATGCGGCATAAACGCACTGCAGCAGCAAATAGACGCTCCCGTGGCACGCTTTCACAACGTGCTCTGGAGTCATTTTTCTGGCAAAATCGCGTGACAGTAGCTCGGGTGGCTGCTCTATCGTCCAACGCCGAGCCACTCACTCCTCGCGACGATATTCCTGTGACAATGGTATTTGGAGAAAGGTCTCGTTCAAAGACATCAATGCCCAACGAAGAGTCTGAAGCTGAAGATTTAGACCGAAACACCCAGTTAAATAGCACGACCAGTATCGACACGTCGACGGATGATTACGATGGCAACGAGTACGATTCGTTCACTGGTTCGAAATCGTCGAGCGTCTCATTTGACACTGCGATATTCAACGATTCAGCCTATTCGGACACGAGTTCCGTATCCATTGGTAGCATTGCGCCATCATATTCATCGAGTCAGTCATCCATTTTCGAAGAAGGTTCCGGAACTACGAATCGAACGGAACGATCCAGTAGCGGATATTCCGTCTTAAACGTATCGTTGAACGATAGCACCTCCTGTCTGACTTCTCAAGGGCTGAACAGATTTGCGGTGCCATTGTCAATGTCCGAGATATCGGAACGTACTAGTGACAAGAGCGATTTGAGCCGTATAAGCGATGACTATAGCGTCGATGGAAGCTTTACCGAGAGTTTTACTACTCAATTGAGTTCAAGTACTAATGATAGCTTCATCTCGATCGAGGGCAACTCAATTTCACAATCTCCTCAAGATCCAGATGAGAATCTTTCAACAACCTCCGACCGGTCCGAGGACTCGACACTGAGTGAAGGTGACATTTAGCTAAACCCTATTGTATTTTTGTAACCTAACTGTCTGTTTCAGTCGTTCTAAATTATTTAGACATAAGCTGCCTAAATAAACGAAATTTAGGTTTAGCCACATGCCTATTTTAGACTTGAGCTTTGGTAGCGGCTAAAATACGGTCCCGTGTCTTAAGCCCCTTGATGCCGAGATCGCGTTCGTCCTTGATACTCAGTAGATAATTGTCCAGACCACCAATTTTATCCACACAACGCAATGTGTGCGTCGTTACATTGAGTCCCACTTTCTCATCCAATGTCTCGGAGTACAAACTTTTCCATTGATGGTTCACTTTCCAAGCACGACGTGTACGACGCTTCGAGAACGATACATTGTTACCAAATGCTTTATCACGACCAGCAAATAGACCACGTTGGGCACGTCCAGATACATGCTGCCGCTTGGAAGCTCGTGTAAAAGCCTCAAGGAATCGCATTCCCGATGACGCCATGGAGAAGTGATTGATTGACAGCCAGCCACACGTGACGTATTTGAAAGTGGTAATTAAAGATGGGTACATGTATGCTATTTGAAAGGTTTATCTACTATACGCTGCCACGATAAAAGGATAGAGTTAAGTACCAACCATAAGCAATTCCACCTGAAAAGCGTACTTTATGCTAATTCTTAGCTTTAAAAGCACTAATCAGCCCACACGGCCTGAGCCCTTCACGCCGCCGTATCATTCTTCCTTACGTGTCGAATTGACAGCCCCAACATGTGTATCAAAATCCGCCATATCGCGTTGCGATGGCACTTGATGCAATAAGAAAAAATAGGCAAAAACCTGCAGAATGATAGCAATAAATGCAAGTGCCGCCACGTCGTAGTATCGTTGAGTGTAGTCCATGCCCAATGTCTTTAGATATACTTCACCATACACGGGAATAGCTGGGTATCCCGGTGCATTGAAAGATAAAGTAGTCCCCTCGAGCTCATTTGCCATGAGGATTTCAAACGCATACCCAAAAATGGACAGGTGTTTTAACCATCCAACCGATCCTGGCATCGTTCCAGAGTTAAGCAGGAAGCCACCAAACAATAGCATAATCAAAAGCACAACGGTAGCACCGAGATTCGCGGTACCCACACGTTTTGCGAGTACTCCCGCAAGGAGACAAATGGAGCCCGCCGCAACATTAAAGAGCACCACAGTAAGCCAGAAAAGTAGAAAACGATCCACTGCAGCTTGTAGTCCCATAATCCAGTAAAAGATGCACGCAAAGAGCGATGCAGGTAAAACTCGTAGAAATACTGTGTCCAATGTCGTCTTGGCAAGAAAGTAGCTAAATGCGCCATAGTACATGGCTCCAGTCTCGCGGAGGAAAATCTGACGCTCACCGATGAACACGTCCATGGAACTCATGCTCGCAAAACCAAAAAACGTCAAGGTGAAGTAGAAAGCACCCATGCGGTTTTGAAATCCCGCGAGGTCGTCCGTGACATTGTTGAAGATCAATCCACCAAATAGCGCTAACGCTAAGCTTAGCACGACGTGCAATACCAACAGCGATCGGAGACGAAGAATGTTCTGAGCAGTTCGTTTGAAAAGCACGCGAATCTCAAGCATCGTCAATTGGATCGAAGCGACCAAGCTATTGGATTTCGACGTTTCCTTCATCATAAACGGCGATGATTGTGGTTCGTACGCAGAAGGACTGTTCATGGGGATATTTGAAGAAAAATTGTCCGGGTGAGGTTGCGAGCTGGAAGGTACCGAGAACGCCGTATTTTTCTCAAAGTCTCCACTGCCCCGACGAGCTCTAATCGCCTGTAGATTCTCCACGTCGGTCGCAATGTCAAGAATAAAGTCTGCAATATTTTCATTGTCAGAACACTTGAATCCCACATCTTCAAACGATCCCTTTGCGTCCGCTGGTGCTCCATTGTAAAGCAGTTGGCCCTTTCCAAGCAAGATTATCTTGTCAAGTAGTAAAAAGGTGCGTGCACTTGGTTGATGAATGCTGAGCACCACGATGCGACCGTGACTAGCCAATTCCTTAATGAGTTTCACGACTGAATGAGCAGATGAGCTGTCTAGTCCGGACGTGGGTTCGTCCAATATGAGAATCTGGGGCGAAGTCACAAGCTCCATACCAATGCTCACACGCCGTCTCTCGCCGCCGGAAATGCCTCGTTCAGAGGTGCTTCCTCCCACCGAACCGATCCGAGATTTTGCAATGTGGTCAAGATTCAGCTCAACAATGACACGATCCACCATGGCGCTCTTAGCAGCATCTGTCATCGACATGGGAAGACGAAGTTGAGCAGAATACGCAATGCTTTCACGGACAGTGAGAGTAGAGTACAATGTGTCATCCTGATGCACATAGGCAGCAATACGACGGTACTCCTTCGTCACCTTGTGGCTGTCAACTAATAGCTCACCAGCAAACCTGGAATTGCCGTTTTGGACCTTAGCAAGTGCGTTGAGCAAGGTCGTCTTGCCTGAACCGCTGGGCCCCAACAGACCAAGCACTTGTCCACGTGACACACTTCCCGAAATCTTGTCAAGAATACACTTGGTCTCCGTCTGCTTGTCATCGCCAGCAAAGCAGCTAACGTTGCGAAACTCGAGTGTCTTCACTGATCGCGAGGTCACTGTCAGCAATTCCGCTTCCAGGACCTCCTCCTCATGGCGAGTGCCCACCGGACAGATGCAGCAGAAAGCACAGCAACCCAACAATAACATTGCAGCCAAGAGTGCACAAGCTGCAACAGCTAGCAACAGTCCACGTGTATCACTCGTGTCCTCGTCAGAACTAGTAGTTGTACTACTAATGTCGATTGTGCCTCCATTCGTGCGTTCGCAGCCTGACGCTTTGCAGGTTGCAGACAACGGAAGCGGCGAGCCTTCGATCAAGAGAGTGAGCTCCTGCGTTCCGTCGGCCACTTGAATCTTGGCAGGTTTACCACTCAGTGATCCCTCCACTAGAGACTTGGTTATTGCTGAGCATGCCGCGCCGCACTTGCAAGTGATCGCGCCACACTTTCCGTTTGCACTGCCCGTAGCAAAGGAACACTGTGTCATGGCACATTCAATCGCGTGATCGCCGTCAACAGTGTCCGAGGACTTGTAGACGGCGGCAGTGCAGTTCGCTGTCCCTTGTTCATTACGGTCACAACTCACAGCTAAAGCACCGTCTTTGAAAAGTGCTTGCAGGTCGCTGGAAAGCGTACAAGTGTATGTTTTGCTGAACGAGGTGGAGTCGTACGTGAACCCAGTGACACATGAGTAGTCAGAGCCTAGAGCAGAGCAGGCGTCACTTTCACCTTTCACTGAGCACATGCGGCAGCCCAAACCACTAAAGCCATCAAGACACTGACAGTCACCGGATGCATCGACTTGTTGATACTTTGAGTCGCATGTTGTGCTTGTGACACTAGATGAAAAAGAACGCGAGGTAGAAGCTGAACCTATCGAGAGCACAAGTGCCAATGCTACGGATATGTAAAGGGGTCTCATTTACAATGTGATGTCACGAAGAAAAAGACAAGTGAGAGGTTTTGACAAAGGGAATCGACTTCAGTCTCACTCAAGCGCACAAAAAAGCGTTATGCGATGTACGGAGGAGGAGGAATGGAAGCTGGGGATCTGCCTGTACATGACCTGTACGGTATTTGGAATGAATGGAGGTACGTAGGTAGGTAGGTAGGTACGAACGAAAGACATAGTACATCCATCGGGTCTTTGATGCTGATTCTGTCCTACAAGTTCAGTGGAAGCGTGTCCCATCAGAAGCATATGATGATCTAACAAGTCAGTTTCATGACCATGTACGACAAAACAATACTCGACAAGAAGCGATTAGATGGGACATAAGTAGCCTAGTAGTACTGCAGCACAAGTCAGATCATGCTTGATTAATCATTGACCCTTCCTACACTTGACCTTTGCTTGTCAATTGTACACTGCAATCGTTGCGAAATTCTTCTTGAATCTCGGAAATGGTCTTGTTGGATGTCTCAGGTACCATAAAGTAGATAAAGACAATAGCAAGGGTGGTCGTGCCCAAGAACGGCATAAAGCTGTAGTTCGTGATGGCGTCCTCGACGTATGGAAATCCAATGCCTACAATAAGTGAACAGATCCATTTCATCGTAATGCAAATGCCAACAGCGGCACCACGAGCGGAATCGGCAAAGAGCTCAGCTACAATTGGCCACAGCAAAGGACCAATGCTCAAATCAAAGCCCACCACAAAGAGCCCCAGGAAGACGATGGATAGCCAACCCACACTTTGCACTAGTGAAAAGGTCATACCGATACAGCACAACGCCATCACGAATATACCGGAGATTAGCATGGTGCGCTTGCGCATGACCTTCGTCAATACAGCGGCAATCGGCACGGGTACAATGTTCAAGATATCAATGATCATGAGGCCGAGTCGTGAGTCTGAAATGCCAGCGTCCGTTGAAATAGAGGAAGCGTAGAAGAAGACAGCGTTGATACCGACGAGTTGGTTGATGCACGTCAAGCCTAGTGCGATTACTAAAGGCTTGCGAAACTTCTTGTTAGTCAGGATCGTCCAGTTTGTTTCGGCGTGGACCTTTTCAGACTCACCACTCAACCTCGCCGGCAACTCGGATCTGCGGTCGTTTACTTGAATCCATCCCATCAAGATACTGACATTATCTTGGCCATAGAGACGTCCTATTTCCTTCTCGGCTTCTTCATTGTCACCATTTGCAACCAACCAGACTGGACTTTCCACCATGAAGAAGAACGAGAGGACTACAAACCCAAGAGCAAATACGATCGGCATCCCAGCGATCCAACGAAAGCCAGAAGTTGTATTCCAGTACCAAAATGTAGTCGCCACTCCAAAGATGCCCAACGTTGCAGCCAAGTGCGTGTTTGTACCAAGTGCGTGTCGATTGTGTGGCGTCGAGATCTCATTAAGGAACGTGTTGACCACGGCCATGGCCACGCCGTTTGCTATACCCGTCACGAAGCGACCCGCTGCGAACCAAAATGGGGTGCTGGCAAACACTTGGATTAAAGACCCGAGTATCATGATGATCGCATTGAAGCGAAGTGTCGTACGACGGCCCCACTTGTTCGATGGAAAGCCCGATAGTAAACTGCCGAACATACCACCAACGATCCACGCATTGACGAGTAATGTCCACGTTGTCTTGGTATGTCCAGGAAACATGAGGCACGTGCCTTCCTTGACTGGTCGCATGTTGCAGGCTTCGGAGTTGTTGAAGGTGCTAAGGTTGATTTGCGAATTGGACCATCCATAGTGGAAGGCTTCAAGCATAGCGATACCGACGGATGAATAAAGGATCCACGTCGGTCGAATCGATCGCTGTGTGATGCTAAGATGAGGCTTTTCATCCATGAAAGGAGGTGGCGTCTGGACGACGGCGTATCCGTTACGGGGTGATTCCATCGGTTGATCGGGCTTACAACGTCGTAAGACAATTTGCAAATGAATATCAAGCTCCCGTAGTGCAAAGCAAGCGAGATGTGGAACAAAATATTTTGCACTGCACCATCGATCGTGAAGACTTGCGAGAAGAACAGACCGTCTATTTTCAAACATTAAGGATTGGTAAGATGTCTGGAGTGCTTCTACCAGGACTTCGTCATTCTTCGCCTCGCTGGCTCAATCTGCTGGCTCGAGACGTCGGGCGTCACGGGGGACACTCCGAAAAGGGCACGTGGAATCGGGTATCCAGCCCGAGGTGTAAATAGTGGCTCAATGATCGCAACAAGCGCCGGGCACCACACCGATCAGTCCCGATCGACCGCTGATGCACCTGGACGGGGCCGATCAATTCACGTTCTTGGCAAGTTCACTTCGTGGGACCGAGATTCGCGCTCAGCGATCGAATCGGCGTCTTGAAGGCTGACGTAGAATAGCAGGAACTATTGGGGAAAGAGGGAATAATAACCGCGGTCGTCGATCCTCTCCCCCCGGGGGTAACAGGGTTGGTGCTCCCCTTACGGTTCGCACGCTGCGCTTGCCCCCCATAGCGCACGCAGCAGAGGGAAAACCTCCCCCTCTTATCCTGGGCCTCCCGTTGGAGGGACTTCCCGCCCTGGTCGGAGGGGCCGGTTGACCGGCTCTTTGAAGGTCTTCGTCTTTGGCCGTTGTTGCTCGAAGGCGCGAATTGGGAAGTGCGCGTGAAGACTTGCAGAGCCCTAGATGCACTTCATTGATCAGTCATCCTCTGGCCCTTCCCAAAATTTTGCTGACTACTACGTAGAAGGAACCGATAGCTTCGGGTCCTGCAAACACACATCAAGTAACGACTTAACAACATGGTCGGGTCTCTGCTTGATTCAACCGAGAACAACGCGGTCAATGGTAAGCGAATTGAGCCCAAGTGTATATTAGATACTAGCGCTGCATTCAACAGACGAGTTCTTCTGTGCAATTCCACTGCTAAAGCGTTTCGTCTGAACGATGTGTCAGCTTTTCAGGAATTGTTCCCCGTAACACCTAGTGAGCAAGCTGAGCCTCAATAAGCTCGATCATATCCAAGGACGCATAGTTAGTCTTGTAGGAATATATGCCACATCATTACCATTCCGTACAATAAGCTTTCTGTGCGCTAAGAGCGCAACTTTGGATGTCAAGTGAAGCAAGGATATGAGAAACCGATAGTAGAGGAATCAATGGTAGCAAAGACAGCACCGTATGATCCGTGTGAGTGCTAATGAGCTTATGGATATCACAAATCAGCGTAGCCAGGAAGCGGTTCAATCTGGTGACGGTGACATAATGTCAGGTCGTATCCTGCAGGACAGGTACATGAGGCTTTAAACAACGGATCCGCAAGGCATCGCCTTGATTTTATCGATCTGAAGCTTGACGGCCATGGTCAAATGGTCTTCGTACGAGAAACGCTGTATCGACGTCACACATTTCAATCTTAAATCCGTCGCGACAACACTGAGTTGAATTCAGATATCGCGTCCACCAAATCGGTCATCAAGAAGCTTGTAAGAAATCGGAATGACTTTCCTATCTCATTGCAGCATGTCAGTTGTTCATCAAGACCACACAATAGGGTGCACTGCTAGTGCTATCTTCATGGGTCCAACTGTAGTCTCTACTACTTGACCTTCACTTGAGCTTCAATGAAGGTCAAGTACAAGAGACTACAGTTGGAACACATGATGATTGTATCTACTGCAGTCGAGGAATCACGTTACGTCATTGCAATGGATGCAAAAAATAGAAAGAAACGCAACCATTGCGACCAGCGACATTCAAGTTCTCAGCTTTGCGTTACGCCTCTTATCATTTCATTAAACAATTAGCAGTCGTCTCGAGCACAAAAAGCTTCCACTGATCTTCAAATGTCTTCGACTTCTTCGATTGATCGACCTCACGATCATCATTTCGTACAGATTACGACTCCAAAGCATGAGAGAGAGACCAAAGTTGTACCATGCGTTGCATCACAATACACGTTGCAATGGCGGAACTTGAGTCTCAAGACATTGGTTTCGAATCCCAACACGAAAGTAGTTGAAGAAAAGGTGATTCTTTCCAATGTAAGTGGCTATGCCACCCCCGGCGAGTTATTTGTCATCATGGGACCCTCGGGTGCAGGTAAAAGTACCCTTATGGACTGTATCTCTGGACGCAACAGTGCCGTTGATGGAGAAATTACATTGAATGGACATCCGTGGAGTGACACGAGCAAACGATTGGCTTCCTACGTCATGCAGGACGATTTATTCTATCAGACAATTACGGTGAAGGAACACCTGGTGTTTCAAGCCAAGCTACGCATGGGCAAGACATTTACGGAGGAAGAGTATATGAATCGTGTAGACGAGGTGATGGAGGAATTGGGACTCATGAAGTGTCGGGATACATTGATTGGCGGGATATCATTGAGAGGCATTTCGGGTGGAGAACGCAAGCGACTTTCATTTGCAACAGAGATCTTGACAAATCCGTCGATTTTGTTTGTGGACGAGCCGACATCGGGCTTGGATAGCTTTATGGCAGAAACGGTCGTGATGCAGCTTCAACGGATTGCTCGTGGTGGTCGGACGGTCATTGCGACGATTCATCAACCTTCCTCGGAGGTGTTTGCATTGTTCGACCAGTTGTACTTATTATCGGATGGTACTCCTGTCTATCAAGGCAAAGCTCTAGACTCTGTTGAATATTTTTCGTCCTTGGGTTACGTGTGTCCGCCAATGATGAATCCAACCGACTATTTCATGAAGCAGCTAGTCGTGATTGACAAAGCTACCGATCCGGCAGGTGTTGAACGCGTGGAGACGCTTAAGAAAGAATGGGCACAGCGTCAGCTACTGCCTCAAGTTGACGCATCCGATGAAAGATCTATAGCAGAAAGACATCAAGACTCACGGCTGGGTTTGTTTGGACAAGTTGGGGTATTAGCGCATCGGAATGTCGTCCGCCTTGTACGTGATCGTATTGGTTTCCGTGCAGCAATATTCCAAACAATTTTCATCGCGATCGTCGTAGGTCTAATCTACTTGCAACTCAAGCTTGATCAAAAAGGAATTCAGAACTTCGCGGGTGGATTTTTCTTCCTCATCGTCAACCAGACATTCAGCGCTGCCAATCCAGTGTTCGTCTCTGTGCCGCTCGAACTGGCGATTATCATTCGCGAGTACAAGGCAGGACTATACTATCTCTTCTCGTGGTATCTCTCGAAAAACATCAGCGAGATACCAATGCAAATTTTCTTGCCTATCGTGTTCTTCGTCCCGGTTTACTTCTTGATTGGCATTGGCCATGGTTTTGACGTCTACTTTTACCAGCAAATAATCATGATCCTGGTCAACAGTTGCGCTGTGGGACTCGGCTACATGGTTTCCTGCTTGGTTCGTCGCGTCGAAATCGCCCCGATCATTGGAGTTGTCATTATTCTGCCATTCTTGTTATTCGGAGGACTGCTCATTAACTCGGATGACGCTCCCGTGTACTTTGTGTGGGTTCAATATTTGTCCCCGATCAAATACGGCTTTGAAGCTATGATGACGATTTTCTGGAAACAGGTTCCGTCGATTGCTTGCAATGATGCAATTGAAAATTGTACCGCTCGCTCAGGATCAGACGTGCTGAAGAATTTTAGCATGGGGTCACGATCGGCATTCGTTGACGGTATCATCCTGATAGCTATCAACATTGGCTTTCGTACCATCGGGTTCCTCGGGTTGTGGCAAAATTTACGTAAGCAAGGATAAACGAGATTCATAACCATTGGGTCTATCATCAGTATAGACATCAGCTTCACGAAATACTGAAGCGCAGCTTTATCTCGATGTACGTCTTCCGAACAGAGGTTCTTGAACTTGCATTAGTTGACTTACTCGAGCTGGTCTCTATTTCAGGTTGCGATATCGACTGCATTACCACAATACGAGAATTCGAACCAGACGGAACTTAGCTTGCACCAAAGCTATCGCTGCTGTGTCTTGTCGACTTGTTACTTTTTCAAGCACAGCTGATATGCGATTGAAACGAGGCCGTAGTACAGAACATGACATTCAAAAGAAGCAGTAGCCGTATGGATTGAAAAGCTATGCTGTAGTTCGACGCCGTACGCTATGATCGCCTAGCCATACTGAATCAATACAATCTGTTGGGGCAGTGACTAGAAACATGAATGGTGCGTGTTCGTCCGCACAAGTCCGTTCGTGGCCAGTAGAGCGAGAAGCACGAGTAAACGAACGTTGAAGGGATGCGTGTCTTACATGTTGGCATCCAATAGGTTGTGCACGATCGCGACAGGTAATTTCTCGATCACTACCATGATCCTCCATACGGAGCGGCGCTCATAAGAAATGCCGTATCTGTGAGCTCGTCTCTCTTGATCTGTCCATGATTGCTGCTGTATATCATCCCATGCTCGCTTGTAGTCTTTATAAAAAGTAGCAAAGCAATCGGGTTGCTGCTTTCCAATGCATCTTCTTGAAGCATTCAACCATCGAATGTCCTTGCTGTTATATAATAGCCAAAGACGTAACTTGATGCTATGTTGGACACTTTTGCCGATGTGACATAGAGAAATGATCGTGCAGTGGTTCTTAGGAATGAATTGAACGATCAAACTTTCCAACTGTACCAAACAATGCTTATAACCATGAAACCGGCATTGTAGTATCGATCGTCCAGAGTTTTTCAGTGCCGTTTGTTTCGATACCAGCGTAGAGATAGAATGGCACAACCAATGGAAAAGTACAGCAGTGTCAGCTCCAGCAAGATAAAACTATCGCTGCGAGAGCTATGGGTCATGTCCATACTGTAGTAAGTCAGTACTTCGTCCCCAGAGTGGGCAATGCAGCCATCATCGTCCTTGGATGAGCTAGACCCATAGCTATTATCACCCACTGTAGCCAGCATAACGCCATCATTCTCACTTCCACTGCCATCGCTACCACCACAAGCGAGAAATCCTATGTGGCCCCAAAAGAGCTTCATCAAAGCTTCGTAGCCGTATTTTACCGGTGACATGTAGTGTAGCCAAATGAAGTAGTTGGGCACGTCGTCAACATTGAGTAGTAGACCACCGCAGATCACAAAAAGGCTCAGTAGAAACACGTACACGATCAGAGCAACGCGTACATGATGAAAAACATCAAGCAGTAGACTAGCCAAGCCTATGGCATTCCAACCTACTAGCCACATCACAATCTGCATGTAGATGTACAACTTGAAGCCGTGACCGATACCAATTAGCAAGTAGGCAGGTACAAACAGCAGCACTGACAAAACCAGCATTGCAGGCAGCTCAGTCAACACTTTCGTCAAATACCAGCATACGAGGTAGTAGCTTCCAGTGCGATGCTCTCGTTCGACAATTGCCATTTCACGAGGACGAAAAACAAACGTCCGGTACGCCATCACTAGCATTTGCAGTATGATCATGAAAAAGAAGGCACCAGCCCAGTTTTGAATGTCTTGCTGGTCGTCTAGATCAAGTTGCAGAAAAATGAGACCAAAGATCACGCTTGCAACGATCATCCAGAACGAATGCCATCCAAAGACAGCACGGTATCGTGCAAGCCGAAGAATATGGCGTCGGAACAGAAGCAAAAGCTGGTCACACCATCTAACACGGAGGCGACCAAAAACCTCTCCATCTTGTGATTCTGGTTCGTCCATATTGTCGGCGAGGCACAACTCCGAGTAACGAGTAGACCAGGCTTCCTTAAAGAGTGCAGCCTGAACATCACCCGTCTCGTTGTCGTTCTTTCGAGCAGAAACTTGACGAACAAAGTAATCCACAGGGCTCATGTACTGTGGACATTGGTACCCAAGTGATGAGAAATATGATACTGCCTCTCTCACCTTGCCGTGATAAACCGCAGCTCCACCTGCAAGAAGGTGCAATGTGTCAAACAGAGCATACAAATGCGACGACGGGTGCGTCATTGTCACCACGACGGTACGTCCTCTACGAGCGAGCTGGCGTAACTTTAAAACAACGCGTTGTGACGCGTAGAAGTCCATACCACATGTGGGTTCCTCAGCTAAAAGAACCGAAGGATTATCCAGTAGAGCAGTCGCGACAGCGAGTAGCTTAGTGTCATCTTTTGACAGGTACCGAATGAGAATGTGACGCTTTGAAGTCAATTCCAAATCGTCAAGAACCTGTTCCACTCGTTCAGCCTCCACATCGCTAGTGTCAGCTCCACAGCACAAGCCACAACCTTCGTTTGAGCGGTTGCCAGCTACCAGCTGAGCTTGAAAGCAAAGATGTTCCTCCACGGTCAACGTCTCGTAAAACAGATCATCACGAGCCACGTACGCAACGTGGTGTGAAAGCTTTAATGCTGCTGATACAACACCATTGAGCGTCACTTTTCCATCCATCGTTTTCCGTAGCCCACCAAGACTCTCCAACAGCGCCACATTCGAGTCATCTGAAGGACCTGTAATCAGAGCCAGCTCTCCGCACTTGGCCGATCCGCTAGCATTACAAAGCAAATGCTGCATGTCACTGTTGCTCTTCGGCTTCTTGTCAATTGGAGCTTTCAGCCACAAGCTGCTCCAGCCCAGAGTCATACTCGGTGCATCACAAATTCCACGACCACCAGCACGCGGAGTCTCTACGGAAATGTAGTGATTCCCTGTTTCGACGACAATACTGCGTTCCGCAGCAGCGGAAGAGTTATGTTGGCTCTTTTGGTCAATGATGTGGTGCATACTGCTTTTCGTGGCAGCCTTCCTCTTAACAGAACTAGCGATTCGCTGTTGGCGGTGGCCCAGTGGCCCCTTAAAGTCCCAGTCATAGCGCCATTGCATCCTGCTAATACGTTTGTTTGCGAGTGCCAAAAGGAACCAGAACGCTACGAAGAAGAGAGACAAGCAAATGACCAGCAGAATCAACGAGTCACTCAATACCGACCGTTTCTCCATGCTGTAGTATTCGAGCACGCCGTCACCAGTGAAAGCGATGCAGCCTTTCAGAGTCCGATCACAATCAATATTGTCGACACGCTTCCAAAAGATCTTCATCATGGACTCGTAGCTGTACTTGATAGGCGAGATGTAGTGCAACCACACGAACCAGTCGGGAATATCTGTCACGTTGATAAGGAGACCACCAAACACACCGAAAAGCATCAACAGTATGGTGTACACGAAGAGAGCAAGCGTAACATGGCGTAGAACACCAAGAGTTGCGAAAGCCAAGCCAACAGCAGTCCATCCAGCTAGCACCATCACGATCTGCATGTAGACATACATCATGAAGCCGTTGCCGATACCGACGAGCAAAAATACTGGCACAAACAGCACGATCGAAAGGATGATGAGGGCTGGTAGTTCCGCAACGATTTTGGTCAAGTACCAACACAGCAGAGTCATCGAGTACGCGTCACTGCAAGACTCTTGTCGTTCACGCAAGGCGATAGCAGTCTCTCGCGGCATAAACACAAAAGTCCGGTAAGCGGCGAAGAGCATCTGCACCACCACTAGGTAGAAGAAGGCACCGGCAAAATTCTGGATTCCGTGTTCGTCCTTAAGATCAATCTGGAGATAGACAAGTCCAAACACCACGCCGATCAAAAGCGCAGCCAGTAAGTGCCATTGAAACACAAACCCATAGCGTGAAAGTCGACGAATGTGGCGATCCCACAAGAGCCATAGCTGACCGCAGCACCCCATGCGGTTGTAGCAGTTTTTCTGGTCGTGCTCATCCACGACTACATCCTCACTCATTGCTGCAACATGAGCAGGATTCCCAGCATATATTGCAGCCTTACGCTGGTTCCATTCGCGCTTCAGTGCATCGACTCGAGCCACACCTTCGTTATCAGATTCTCGATCGCCAACGACCATTTGAAGCATGAAGTAGTCGATTGGACTCATGTACTCCGGACACTGGTATCCGATCGCAGAAAAATAAGCAATGCAATCAGCCGCCTTGCCGTCATACACACATGAGGCGTCAGCAACCAAGTACAGCACGTCAAAAAGCCTATAAAAGTGCGAGGACGGGTGATGCAGGGTCACGATTACTGTCAATCCCTTCTCGAATGCAAGCCAACGCAGCTTGGCAACAAGTTTCTCGGCGCCAAAGGTGTCCAAATTGTCAGTGGGTTCTTCAACGAAAAGAATCGATGGGTTAGTCAGCAGAGCTGTAGCAAGGGCGAGTAGCTTCCGCTCACTCCGGGTAATTCCACGCACCAAAAGACCACCACCAATCAACTTGTCACGGCAACCGGAGAGGCACATCTCCGCAATGACATGCTCCACTCGCTTCAAGCACATCTCATCCGTGTGCGTGCGGCGCATACGAAGGCGAGCTTGAGCAATTAGATGCTCCTGCACGGTCAACGTCTCATAGAACAAGTCTTCGTGCATAACGTAGCCAGTGTAGTGGTTCATCTTTTCACTCCATTCGTGGCCATTGACCGTCACATTGCCTTCCATGGCATCTTCAAACCCGGCAAGACAAGACATCAGAGCAAGACTTTCATCCCTTGACGGGCCCGTAATGACCAAGAACTCACCAGCCTTCACCGTTCCACTTACATCTTTCAGCACAAATTCATCGCTACCTGAAAATGCAGTACCCGCCAAGAAAGTCTTCCAGCTTTTGCGATTCAGGCAAAGGTTGCTCCACGCCAATGAACAAGGCTTGACAGTCCATACTTCATAATCATCGGGTGGACTGCTTCGGCGAGGACTTGCAATGCTAACGTAGTGATTGTCCAATTCGATATCAGGCTCAATGCTATCAATGAGTTCGGTCGTACGGCGTTCACTGTCTCGGACAGTCCTTCCACATGAGGCCACAGGAGCAGCAGCATTCGTCAAAATGCTATCGGACTGGATGCAATGGCGGATAGGTTCTACCTGATCAACTGCGGCGATCTCGTTGTTATGTGTAGTTATGTCGGGTGTCATCTTGTCGTCTTCACCTTCGATGACCCGGCTGACTTTATTACTTGAGCTAAGAGAGGTCATCACTGCAGCAGATTTGGACTTGTTGCCGAAGAAACCCCACAAACCACCAGCTCGCTCAGGCTTAACTTCCATGAGCTCTTCGCGCCCAGAGTTTTTACGCTCTTCAAACTGTTGAGACTCTGGAGACACAATACTATCATCAGCTGTGGTAATGTCGAACGCAGACGCAGCAGTATTGTAATCCAAGTGCCCCGGCTCAAGTCCTTCCTCTACTTCAACTATTGTATGTGCCAGCCGTGCTATACCAGCTAGCGGAGACGCAACAACAGCACCTTGATCGTGTATGACAGGCGATCCAATCTTGTCAGCCATTTCAGCGCCAGCAGCAACACAACTTTCCTCACGTTCACCCATGTCACGAAGCTTCTCGTCTTCAGTACGAAAAGCTTTAGACTTGTTAGGGCCCCACAACTTCCAAAAGCTACGCTTAGTCTTTCGGTCCGGCATATTTGATACATCCTCTTCAGTGGTTGCCACTGCGGCGTGAGATTCTTCTAAAGTAGCTGCAGTCTTCGCAAGATCAGTAGAAGAGTAAGGTTCAGGCTCTTTGGGGTCATTCTCCACCACACTTGCCACTCCTGCCGCACCAATAACTGCAGATAATTGAACAAAGTCGTTCTCACGTGGAGACACTGGCGAAACAACAAACGACTTTGTCGCTGCGTGGGGCCCCGGAACCTCAACGCTCACGTTTTCAGCAGGTAAAACGGGTGTCTTGTCTTCATGCAGAGTACTGATCTCGTGAAGCGCAGCAGTTTGCTCATTTTCGTTTTCTTCAGGTGTCGGTAGCTTTTGGGGGGCTTCGCGGGCCGCAAACGACGGTCTGACTCCACTATATTGTGACACAAGAGCGTCCACGGTTGAATCGCTACGACCCTGTGAAGATTCTTCCATTGGTGCCATCATCGACGCATCAGCGATTACGTCAGAAGTCTTAGGTACATCGCTAACGCGTGGGTTTTCAGCGACAGTATCACTGTTCTGGTATGAAGAAAGCTTAGGCTCGCTTTGACGATTAAAGTCAGCAACCACATTGGACGCGTCAGCCTTGGCAGCTTCAGGTACATCGACAAGCTTTTCATTGTGTGGGGCAACAACCGATTTTGATGTAGTTGGTTCTTTATCGTCGCTACATGATGCCTCTGAGCAAGCCATTTTCGTTTCCGTCTTACCGAATATCTTCCAGGATCCACCAACAACAAATGGCTCTTCGTCCTTTTCAGCTTCAGCAATGTCGTTTGTTACCGTCGTAGCTCGCTCATCAACAGCAAGCACTCCCTCAATCTCATTTTGAAAGCTATTACTATCGCCATCGACAGCAGACGCCGTGACAGCAGCACCAGCCACAGTCGCTACAACTCTAGCCTTCAGCGTTTCCTGGCTGTCACCATCAACTTTCGTGCTGTCAACGTCAGCTCTTTTAGATGCTGCACTAGTGCAAGTAGATCCGTCACGTGATCGAAAAAAAGACGCGTTCTCCTCATCACTCAAGCTCGTAGTGGTCTCAAATTTCTCGCTCAGGGATGCATCGGTCACAGTAATTTCATCGAGATTCTTTTGCGACTTGTCGGAAGGAGATGCTGTACGAGAAATTACTCGTCGAGTTTTTGACGGAATCACGGTTCGATCCGACACGGAGTATCGGCCACTACTAGATCCACCCAGCGATTCGTCGCTGCTAGCGTTGTCTTCGTTCTGAGCAGAACCCGCGTCGATAACCGATCCGTTCACAGCTTCTGTGCCTGAGCCAGCAGTTCCTTTACGAATAACCATGCGCCGAACCACACGTTGTGGGGTTACTACCCGACGAGTAGTAACCCGACGACCTGGACCATTCTGACTAGTAACGACTTTGGTAGTGAGATCGCCGTCTTTCGACTCCACATACTGCACATCTTCTTCATATTGGGCGTCAGAACTGGAGCCGGCTTTGTGCACAAGACTGCGATGCACTGCCGGTACTGTGTTTGGCGATGTCATCAGTCGACGAGTAACAATGCGTCGAGAGGAAGTCGTAGTGGAAGTATCACTCGTGACACTGCTGACGCTACCCGAGAAGCTCCCTACGCTCGAAAAAGAGCGACCTTCATCTTCAAACGTCTGTCCATCTCCGCCGATATGCTGTTCGACCGAGTCTCTAGTGCCGTCCAAACGAAATGGCGGTAACATGTCGCTATCGATACTAGCGTATGTCTGTCCGGGTGACACGATACGTCGAGTTATCGTAGTGCGGCCGGAACTAAAAACATTTGTAGCGCTTCCGCTAGTCGTCGCCAGTGCAGTCCCGTTCCTTTGAGCGACGTTGCCATCCGCATCCATGTACTGCACTTCTTCATGAACTTGACCATCCGCCCCCGTCCTACGAACGACAACTCGTCGAGTGGTCTTGCCGGGGGTAACAATTCGTCTTGTCACTGCTGACGAGCCAGAGATACTATCAAAATCTTCACCTTCCGTCCGTACGATGTTTCCATCGACATCAAGATACTGCACTTGTACGTGAACTTGGCCGTCAGCTCCAGTACGACGCAAAGTACGCTGCGTCAGTTTCCTTGGTGTTACGATTTGCTGTGTGGTGACCGGCGTGGGGGTCATAGTACTTGTCGTGACATTAAGAGCGACCCCTTCACCGTCAACGACATTTCCATTAACATCCACAAATTGTACTTCTTCATGGACCTGTCCGTCCGCTCCAGTTTTACGGACTACAACACGTCGCAGAGTCATCGCCGGTGTTGAAGCATAACCAGTAATTGTCGATCTTCCTACAGAAATTGTTGAGGTCTCGTCCGTCACATCTTCAGCAGCATTGCCACTTTGTTGGACAACTTGTCCGTCAGCTTCCATATATCGTACTTGTTCATGAGTTTGTCCATCTGCACCAGTGCTACGTACCACAACACGCCGCATGTTTTTGCGTGGCGGCACCACTATCCGTCGTGTCAGCTTGGCCGACGGAGATGTTGACGAGGGTATTGAGGTCGACAAAGCTTTGGCTTCATCTTCGGCATAAATGGTTGGCACACGCTTGACCACAAGGTTGTCAAGTATGGCACTAGGAAGAAAATCGTCTACCTCTCCATCAACTCGACAAGAATTTTCTTCATCATTCACGAGACGTCTCATGAGAGACTCTCGACTTGGAGACGATAACTTTTTAGTCGGTTGTTTGGTCAGCCTTGGCATCTTTTCCGTCCTAGTTGACTTGGTCATGGAACCTCGATCCGACGCTGGGGTACCAGTATCAAATAATCCATCGTACGACGCGCCTTCTTCAAATGACGAAGCAGACGTCGCGGAGCCTGGAGTCATTAATTGTTTTAGGACATTTTGACGTGCACCGAGACCTCCGAAACCCGCAGGAGACGACGTTTGACTGTTTTCACGCAAATGAGGATTCCGTTTGAGCAAGATACTCTGTGTATTGATTGTAGCGTTGATACCAACTTCAACTGCTTGATCGGTATCTTGAATCGAGTCAGCCATTGTTTCTAGAGAGCTAATTTGATCTGATGAATTGCAATGTCGGACTTGTTTGACCGACAACCTTTTTTCAGGAATGACAAGACAGAAAAAAAACTACACGCTGTACATATCTCTCTAGTATTTTTTTATAGGTGTCGTGTCGTCTCTTGGTGGAATTTCAACGCTGGAAAGACGACTGACGTATTGGAGACTGTAGCACTAATATCTATTGACGTGCTGACTACTAAGAGTTCAGAACGACGGACTTTTGTAGAAGGAACTAAGCTTTATTGAATAATATATATAGCAGCGCTATACTCTCTTCAAGCATTACAGCCGAATGAGAGTGGACGATGTTTACACAGAATACTTGCCATCGATCCTATGCCGATTTACTAAAAAGGTATGCGGTCAAAGGCCACTAGACTTTGTATCAATAGATCCTGGACACAAGGCTTACATCATGTCGGCGACAGTATCGGGCTATCGAAAGCAGAGTGAGCTCAACGCAGTTGCTTTAACAAACCACGACAGACATTCTAATCGAGATATCAAAAATACCTGCAGTACGACCAAACGGCATTTCTGCTGCAACAACAACAATACACTTGTGCATGTTACACACGATTACAACCGAGACCTTTACTAAATAGGGTTTGTCGCCTCCAAGATAATTGTTCCTGACTTGGCCTAAAAATTGCCAAGATGTTTTTTAGGCTGAGGAAAATGTTGAGCATGTACTTAAGTGACAGCGATTTTCTCCTCCAGTAGGTCGAAACAAGTTGTACAACCTACAATGCGATGTCCCACTTGCTGGACAAGTCGAGTGAGGAGGTCAATCAACTTGCGATGTAAGTTAAAATGTACCGACGGCTTGTTGCAATCGATTTGGCAGTGAACATCCTTGGCATTCGACTCACACAGTCCCCACAATTGTAGATCCCGAGCGCTTATCGTCTTGGGCTTACGTAAATTCTTTTGCTACACTGTTAACGTCACATGCAGTTCGATGTAGACTTTTAATAACACTGTGCCATACTATAGTGAATTGAAACAAATTCTACATGAAACACGCCCATGCCGTCAGAGCATTCGATCTTTTGTCTTTAGATGATATCTCTCGTATCACTTACTGAACATTGAATAGACAGATCCATGATGGAATGATTGTCTCCCATTTTAATGTCTAAGTATCATGTTAGGAGATATCATTTGTATGACTCTTCTCCATTATGATTTTGATTAAATAGAATACTTGTGATGTCGAGGTGTCTGTCATGTGCAGCAATTGTTATCGGAGACACCTCGACATCACAAGTTGATATCGCTATGACGCCGAAAAACGAGTGGCAAGCGAATAAATATCTCATGTTTGTCATGTCCTCACGTTGTATGAACCTCGTCAGGTGATATGTCGCCTTTAGAGCAAGGACCAAAACTGATGACGCCTTGAACTTATGATGAGAGGCGCTTGTGACACCATTTTTAATAGTAAGGGTAACAAATATCCTGCTAAGAGCACATTAAGCTTCTGTCTCACCTATTCATGAGAGCAATGAATGAGGTTGAGGGTAGTTTTAGAGTATTCATCAAGCGAACCGTAAGCTTTCACATCAAACACGTGCTACTTGTCACCATGCAAGGATACGCGCAGCCTCTTAACATAAACAGCTAATGCAGATTCACGGCTCGGCGAGTTCTTAGGTTGTTACAAGTGATAATGGTGGCTAATGATGGAATGATTCGTATCTTCTTGGTGAAATAGATAAAGTACAACACCAGATCGTGTTTCTCATTGATACATTGGTGCGGTTGTGCAAATAGGGCTACGCTAAGACGACTATCTGTGCGGGTTCATCGTGAAAAGACAAGATGAATACGGCATAAGTATTCTAATCATCTATGCATATTGTCGCAGTTCCAAACTGAACTTAAGTCTGTTTAGCCAATTGATACGTAACATCACATAACACAAACGGGTATATAGACTCGTCTGCCTGCGTTCGGCTACAACAACAAGCTCGGAATGGGTCGTGGCATTTCTATCGTCTATGAGCTAAGTCGAACTCAAATCGACTGAGAGTTGTACAAGTTTGTATGCATTTAGAAGTTGCAGAATGTCTGTTTGCTCCTACGCTGGGATGTAGCCCCTTTATGACCGCTTGCGTGATCCGGCGAACTGACTTTTGACCATTAACGCGTGGAGAGGGGACGTTACCAGCCGGTGGCCGCGCGACATGCATGCCCGAGACATGACCCCGAGAAAGGATGCTCATAGAAGGGTGATAGGGCTGAGACCTGGACTGGCTTGAGCTTGATTGTAAAATTTGAGAATGCGGTTCCTCACAACAAGACAACGATACGACGTTGAAAAAGAGGCAAAATAATGGACACGTCAAGCTAGTCTTTCGACTTTATCCTTGACGACAGCGTTTAAAGCTTTGGGCATCGTGTGCACGAACCGTAAAGCTCTCATCGAGTACTCCAATGTGATTGAAATAAGGCCCGTAATTTGGATGCTAGGCCAATAAGTAAAACATACAACTTTGTTACTTGTACCAGTACGTCTGTATCCTTATTGTACCTGTGCACGTGTAATACCCGTGATGACATCGATGTGACACTTCTAGCGGGTCTTTCTCCTACTGGATACAGCGTCACCAAAATCCAGACATTGTCGTCACGCCACCGTCAGGAGTCACTTATGCACCCTTGAACCATCGGTGGCAAGCGATGGTGACATAGGACATAGGTCGAGCAGCTGTATTACTGCATACCGTCGATGATCTGGCACGTCAGTGCTGAACATTTGCGATCGAATGTTTCTGCATTCGTCCTCCGCCGCTTTACAGTACAATACTGTAGGGTAAAGAATGGCTCTAGCAGACAATATCATACAAGCCGCAGCATGCCGACACGAAAAAGTATGAGATTTAGAAAAAAAACTACATGTGCTTGTATCGGCATATGAACTGAACTGTAACATTTAACGTCGAGGCATGCAACCACGTGGTTTTGGACTGCACTTGTAAGATAGACATGAGAATGGTGATTACCAGCCATTTTGATGTCATGCTGGCTGAACCGTTTTCGGTCGACGTAATCGGGACTACAACAGATCCGAAGACAGCGCGACAATCAAACACTGTACAGGTATAGAAAGCTCCACTCGCGGTGCCCAAAATTACCTACTTAGCACGGCACTGCTGGCCACCTCCCGCCATGATTAATAGATTGGAGGGCTTAATTATGGACTTTGTATGGGGCGTCCATGATGGCAAGAGGTCCCGACCGTGGGTCCCTTCAGAGATGGCTTCACTACCGATATAGCAAGGTGGGCTATCGGTGCCGTGTATTCGTACGGAATTAATGACTATGGCGGCAACCGCTGTTGGACAGTGGGCAGCTACAGCTTCTTCGAGAAATTTACTGATCGGAGACTTTCTATGGGGCTCTACTGATTCGGGTCCGGCTTACATCACGCCATGTTGGACCCAAGACCAGGAGCCTCGACTCCAAGTGACGCTATGGTTAACCAGTTCTAAAATTGTTGGGCTTTCAGCTGCTCGACATGCCCGCCAAGGAGAGGTCCAGGAGGTCTGCCGAAGGGCCGCCTCATTTACATCAAGAGCCTTAATCGACTATAATGGAGACGGTAGTGTCACAATTGATGTCCGCCGTATACTTGATGACAAGTTGCGGGCCGGGATGAGAGCTGAAGTAGCGACATCAGGTCGTTTTGAACCCAGATGGATCGTACACGCAACGCTGACGGACATGTCGTGGCTGAGGGATCGCAGAGGCAAGGCTTATACTTTGAATGGAGCGGATTTTGCGAGGGGGCACAAGTACCTTGGCGACATATTCACCTGGAAGACGACTCAGAGTGGTATCGTCCGATTTTCGCCCAAGCGTGACATGGCTACCCACTCTATGGCGAAGCGTCGGCATTTTGGGAACTTCTGCCTTGCCCTTCTATACAATTTTCCAGCACTCGTATACAGGTCGTTTGAATCGGGGGCATTGTTGGCGTACTCGACAAAGGTCCACCAATATCATACTTGGCTCCTCGACCGAGACGGTACATCGGTATCGCACTTCGACACGGGTATAGCGGGTGGGGTGGCTACAGTCTCATCTATGGCTGCTTGCGATACCGCAGCGTGTCTGGACAGTGGAATTACTGTCCACTTTGGTGCGCATCCAACGCTTACGCGTGTTGTACACCTATGGGCTGGCCGTCGAAGATGGAGTCCGCAACGACGAAAATTCAAAAAGATCATTTCCCGCAGGCGAAGTGATGAAGGCAAACGCATTTGCGACGAACGCGTGAAGAAGCCGGACTTCCAAGTGATTGCAGCAGGTACATCTCTGATCGAGTGGAGAGACATCCGTAAAATACGGGCTTCTTTCCCGACCAACGCGCAGACGCTTTATCGTCTGAAGAGTAACAGCTTCCCGCTATGGAATTGGGCTAACCAAGATCTATCTTGCCCCGACCCAGCGTGTCCGACATCCTTACTGGCCATGGCTAGTCATGTATTCTGGAATTGCCCTAGCGCTCGGCGTCATTGGGGTTATCTACTTGAACGGTGGCGAAAGCTAGGCGATTTGGAGGAGGCGGACCTTCACGTCTGGGTGTTTGGCATGGACCTTCCGAGTATTCCGAGTTCTGCATGGAATGCCATTAAAAACGCTATCGAACCCAGTGTAGATTTGTCTTGAGCGAAGGACGCCGTTTCTCCAGCAACGCGTGAGCTCTGGCGTTTTCTCGTTTCTACGACACTACATTCCATCTGGGCTGAGCGTCTCCGCCGCTTGGAAGACTCACTTTTGCCACAGGAAGTACACGACGCAAGAGCAAGGACACAATTTCGACGAGCGGTTACACGGTTTCGAAGCTCAACATATTAGTCGGACATGGGGGTAGACGGATACCTATTCGCACGAGTACGGTCGGCGCTTGCTGATACCCTCATCGGCTTTGACAATCCTCCACCCTTGCGAGCGCTGCCGCTTGACACTCTATCTGGGGTTTTCTACCTGCTCTTCTTCGACGGGGGGTCAAGAGGAAATCCTGGACCGGGCGGAGCAGGTTCCGTCATTGTCCAACTTCACATTCAGACGCACGCAGCATGCGTCGTGTGGGTATCGAGCATGGCTTACGATTCTGCAAATACCACGAACAATGTCGCTGAATACTGGGGGATCGTGCACAGGCTTCTACAAGCGAAGGTTAGCGGCTACTCACCTCTCCATGTCGTGGGGGACAGTGCGCTCGTGCTTTCGCAGCTTCGGACGCACCATCCTCCACGCAAGCCACACCTGGCCCTTCTTTTCCGAGAGGCAAGAGCACTTGCTGACGATATCGATGTCTCCAGCTGGGGACATCACTATCGCTCATACAACAAAATGGCGGATCGACTCGCGAATATCGCTATGGACACTGGAGCCTCAATTCAAGTGCACGCTTCCGCTGAGGAAGGTGTTGTCAAGGAGGCTTCGGCATTCCTTGACCATGATGTCAACCACTGGCTGGAGGCCTCTCAAGCCGACAACTACGAACCTCAGGGACCCGCTATGACGCCACGGAACCTGATCATCTCGAGACAAGACTCTGCGCGACGACTCTCGGCTGTCCGAGGACTAGTTATACCTAGTACTTAAAGTAGAAGTCGCCACGGTAACTCTGTTACCTGTCGACAGGATATAATGGGTCGTACGCGTACTTAAATATACCTCACCTTCTCACCTCACCTAGAAAGCTCCACATGGCTCATGCGGTCAAGTTCGAGGAAAAAGCTCAGCCGTGTCAAGCTTTTACTCGAATTTTATTTTGTGCAAACCGATTCCAGTGTGCCTCACCACGTAGCGGACCAGAGTTCATTTCTCAATCTGCTTTGTTGAGCTCAATATCCTCGTCACAACTCTGGACCTTTCTGCAGCTACTACATCAAGGATGAAGCTTGCGACCACTTTGGCCGTTGCCATCGTTTTGGCCGCCAGTGTCACCGAAGCCCTACCATTTAACACGTGCACTTGCCTCTCACCGTGGCATCACGATGTCGTAGACTGGACAACGCTGCAAAATGACATGAATCAGTTGAATCAGCACTTCACAAGCATCCGCACGTACCACGCGCTATTTAACGGAGTAAACGTTATTGACATGGCGGCTGCAGCCAATCTTTTTGTCTCGGTGAGTGTGCAGATGGGTGACCGGAACGGGATCGAGAAGGAAATTCAGGCGGTATGCGAGGGCTACAGCCGCAACTCCTGGGCTGTTAAGGCCGTCTTAGTCGGTAATGAAAATGTCCGGAACGGCAACTTTGGCCAGTACTCGGTCGATGAGCTGATTTACTATATAGGCCGAGTCCGGAATTGCGTAGGACCAAATACGCCTGTCGGAACAGCGCAACGCATCAATGAGTGGCTGACTGCCCCCGACGTGAACAGGCTGGCGAGTTTTTCATCCGTCCTTGGTGCTAACATCTACCCATTTTTTACGCAAGGCACGCAGCCGGCCGTGCAGAAGCTGCAGGCTCAGTGGGAGCAGTTAGAGTCAATGTACGGCCCAGAAAAGCTCCGCCTTACGGAGACTGGTTGGCCATCCGAGGGTGGTTATAACTTTGCGGGCAACGAGGCGTCGGTCAGCGATATGCAGCAGTACTTGAATGACTTTGTCATTTGGGTCGCTCGCAAAGAAGGCTGCTGGTTTATGGCGTACGATTCGTCTATCAGTTACTCGGGCGCGGAATATGAAAAGCATTTTGGTCTCTTTAACACTAGAATGGGCTATAAAGTACAGATTCCTACAATGTAACAGGGAGTAGCACAGATTGAATCAACATATGCCAGAACGTTAATAAACTGTTTTGCTTGAATGCTATTTCTTATGCTTGTTGCCGGTCCGGTAGGTGGACAGATATTTTTGCTGGACAAAGGTTTGTATCACACTGTAATTTAGCTGCAAGAGGTAGAACTTGTCTAAGCTAATCCTCCATAAAATAGTAACCTTCATAATATTTTTGGATAGCTTTGTCTCGAGTGGCGACTAGCAATTTTTTCGTACCGGTCTTATATAATAAATCTTACAATTTAATAGAACGTTAGCGTCCTCACAGTACTAGTTAAACAAGTTCAGTTGTATATGTGACCACCCTCGTGAATGTATAATCCATGGATGTATTTACATTCAACGGGGATGAGGCCCCCAGGTGGGACTAGACGTCATGATGACGTCACCGATGTACGTCATCAGCGAGCTTAAATATATTTAACCTCTCTTGTAGGAAAAGCTTCTAAAGAAACGCGCATCCGATCGTTACATTTAACCAATCAGTTGTTAGCTATATGTAGAAAAATTCTGTTATTTAAAAGTCAGTCTTAATTTGCTTAACATTGTACACTGCGCACGAGAAGCTGAATAAGCTTCTGCGTGGCGCAAGCGAAGCACTTGTTAGAAACTCGTTACGCGGTTCGCTTTAACGACCTTCAACTTGTTATACGATCGCTTAAGCGGTCAACCATACATGCCACCACCGCGCACGGAGGTAAGACGGTATAAATGCCTCTTTCACGCTGATTGAAGGTGTGTGCTAGTAGCACGTGGCAGCTTCTTCTAAGTACTCGTCTACACTTGGTACAACTAGTTGTCCTTCCCAAGACCCGTATCTTTGAGCGTGCAAGCACTGAACAACGCAAGCACTGAACAACGCGACCACTGTACCATATAAAAGCAAACAGTGTAGTGGGGCACCCTCCGACTATACTGATTACAGTATAGTCTACTTTCACTGATTACAGTGAAAGCAGGTGCCTCAATTACCTCACGTACACGTGAGCAGAGAAGTCGATCAACTAAACAAACGCTTAGTTAAGAGGGAAAAGAAAACTGTATTTAATATAGTTAACTATCTTAATAAAACTAATCTGTTATAACCCATGCTAACTATATTAAACTACAACTATGTACGTTGACAACTTGCCCTCCACTCATTGCGCGCGTCCAACGGTCATTGGTCAGCGCGTTGGTTGAGATGATGGCCCATATCAACCAACGATAGGGCATCTCCAACTTCAAGGAGATCTAGGTTGAAGCTGGAGATGCCCTCTAATTGGTTGATATGGGCCATCATATCAACCAACGGTGTAACGGGCTCACCCCGTTACATAGTATTGACACTTATATGAAGTGTCAATAAAAATATTATTATAACCAATAATATTTGGCAATATTACCTTTTCTTATAATATTGTTCCTAGATCTCCTTGAAGTTGGAGATGTCCTATCAGAGGTAATATTGTTCCGTAAGCAACATACAAGTAGTAGACATCATTAGGAAGGTGCAGCAAGCGTTTACTTTACTTATTCGCAGGAATAAAGCGAATGGCTGATATAAAATGGCTAGTGGATTGGTCAAACAGTTCATTAAGCTAGAATATGTAATTAAGATTGTAAATCGATTTGACTTTAAAGTAACAAATATTTTGCTATTTCAACATTTTTAAGTATCTAATCATTGCTGGTAAAATACGCTAGGTTTCACACGGAAGGAAAATGTCATCGCCTCAACTCCTCAGCCTATTTAGCAACTGGACACCACTTCGTAGCTCTGGCACCATCGACTTGGTCATATTGGTCATGATGATCTCGATGCCATTGTCATAACAAAGTATTATTGACATTATCAATCGGTCAGTGAAGCACTGGTACGTGTGTGAGTGCTAACTTGGTATAAAAACTCGACTGCGCTACAGCATGTTGTCGCCAAAACACGCAAAGCAAGTTCTGGAAGTCATTCACAGCGATGTGTGCGGAAGAAGCCTTAAGTGCTTAGCACGTTCGCCGACTTTGTTGCGCTCGCTTAGACGCAAACGGGTAAACGGGTGAAGACAGTCCGAAGTGACAACGGGGTCGAATATACTTCCCATCGATGAGCAAGGTTTTGCAGCGCCGAAGAATCATGCAAAGCTTCACACCACTTTACACACTCCAGCTGAACGGGTTGCCGAGCGGATGAACCGAACTTTGGTGGAGTGCGCGCGTAGCATGATGGATAATGCTGGGCTGTCAATGGGGCAAAGCAAGGATGAATGCTGTGTTCCTACGCAATCGGCGTTTTAAACGCGTCGTCAACCATAATACTTGCCGCACAAAGTTTGGACAGGGACGAAGCCAATACCAGCAAGCCGAAAGGTATTTAGATGCCATTTATACGTTTTCTTTATACATTTAAGCTCGATGCTCGGGCAGCACGCGTAAAGCGTATAGATTCAGGAAGCTGTACAGCTCGTTGCTCATTAGTGAATGAAGACGAGCAAATCATTGTTTTGGTTGAAGGTCCAGCCGGTCCAGTACGGGCGGTTCTGCCGGATACTCTGGATGCCGAATAGCCCGAACTATTCTGTTTGGGTGTTTCATGCTTCTTCAAAAGGTCTTACTCACTGGGACCATAGTTCATGAGGTTACCAATGAGGGTAGTGTAAGCAACATTGTTTTCGTACTTTGGGCTGGTCGAGGATAGATTTGGATCTGCGCTACTTACGACACAGGCCGGTGCTTACTGTAAGGGGCCAGAACGATCGTTACTAGCCTACACGCGCGTTTAAGGAAAACTCAAGCCCAAGTAGTAGGTACTAAGTAGATTAAGCTTTGATTTTTATTTATCTTTAATTCGTGCTTATCACAAATAATATATAGTCGTAACAAATAAGACCGTGTTCTCGCCTTTCGAAACCACTCAGTTTCAGGCAAATTTATCACTGATCCATATCGGGTCTTAGGTCCCAATGAAAAAAACAATAATAAATTGCCACGCTGTGCCCGATATTCAAACACAGCACCTGCCGACAAATAAATTGTTTAGTTATGTTTGTGATATATATATGCAATGTGCTTATCCGAGGCACCAGGGGGACCCCTAAAACGACCCGAAAATTATGACAAATGTCGTCAATACTGAAAGATGTGACTAATGTCAAAGCACAGTGGTCAGCGCAGATGAAGAGGCGACGGATCAAAGTTCGGAATTAGAAGATGAAAATGAAACTACGCAAAATAGAAATAGCGAATTCGGCAGTAAAAGGCACTAGCGAACTTAGTCGTTGAAAAATGCAGCTAAAATACAGGCGTCAAGCAGTCCACGTCGTACAAAAGACACCAGAATCATAACAAGATGACAGCAGCAGCTCAAAAGCTCAAGCATTGACGCTGCTTAGGTCGTGAATTTAGTGGAATTGCCTACTAAGATACTGATGGCTAAAAAACAGCAAATCAATATAGTGTAAAGACGCGTGTTACTTGGAGTGTGGTACGCCGCGCAAGAGAAAAACCTGGGACGTCGCGCCGCTGCCAAAGAAGCGGAATTTTCGGCTGCAGATGATTTTATCGTGTTATAGATCACCAAGACGGTGATATTGACCCTCAAGTTCGTGAATAGTATTCCTTCAACCTCCCCATAGCTGTAGTAGCGCAAACACAGCGAGACCCTTTATGAAAAACGCTTTAGTTGATCTATAATTACATTGCTGCCGCTTCCAGGTAATTGGTTTCTTCTCTTTTAGATACTGCCCTCCAGGCGAGCATCCATGCCCCGGTTAACTCGCCTTATTCGTGTGATGGACCTTCGGCGCTGCCAGTGCTCGTGCACAGCCGCCGGCAGCTTGCTTTACAGTGTGGATATTTGTCACATTAAGTTGGTGTGCAAGCATACTAACGATTCAACCGCAAGTGATGCCATCGCACATCACTCATAGTACATTTGCACTCTTGTGAACGCTCCAATGCGTTCATCATAAGGCCATCTAATAAACAAAGCGGCAGGCATCTATAGGGGTCGATGATTCCAGCTGATTCATGGCTTGTACCCTTCTTAGCCATGGTAATCCTAGAGGAAATCAAATTTGTCATCCAGATCGGGTGCGATGAACGCATCATGGCACCCTTTTCCTTCAAGCGTGCGGTGAATTCCCACTACCGCTTCTGTACCTTTACGGATGTGCATGTTTCAAGGCGCACCGTCATCCTTGTTGATGAGACCCCACGATAAACATATATAAGCCTATTATTATTTTAGCGACTAGCGCTAGACTAAGTTGTTCGACCTTCTAAAGTTTACTAGGTCAAAAGTTACATGTTGTTTTTCACTTAAATCTTTAGGATAATGAAGGGTTCTCTGAACGTGCTCGAAGCCCACTAGTCATTCCATTAACACGAAGATCTTGAACACTTCCAGAAAAATGCATTCAGGTAGACGTAGTAACTTGATTTTATCTAGACAGTAGGGGCATGACATCCTGTCGACATTGCACATGGCCTTTATGTTTTCAGTTGGCCTTGCTATGAATTCGATCACTCCTCGCTTCGAATAAGTCTTGGACGTCTACGTGCCGGCTACATTTTAACAGCAAATCGAAGGTAGGCCAGTTCTCAGCAAAGTCTTTTTATTATTTTTAAATACGAGCACCTTGGAATAGCGAGAAATCTTCCTTGAGAAAAGGAGCTTCGATAGAATAATGTATCCTTGAGTAAATAGCGGCTCAAATCAATGGGCCTTTGCATGTTACTATCCCCGATGCTTCTGTCAAATATTCCAGTTCTTCGCAGACTGTCAAGCTCGAAAACAAAAATTAAGTTTATCGAGAACTTATGGACTGCCAATTTCCTATCAAAGTCGGTAAATTGAGGAGAGGCTGCGAGGTTTTAGAAATAAAGCGATTAGTTAAGTGGAAATAACGTAATATACTTGACGGGCTCTGATAAAATTACTTTATGTGCATTACTGGTGCCGTACTAAGGCTAGCAAGTCTTCGAAGTATGTC